TGGGTTTGTGGAACTCTAGCTAGTTACATATCTTCAATTATTTTCTCCACTAAATTTGAGATTTCATATTCTCCAAACTAAAACTGACAAAGAAACAGACAAATATCGCTTTCTATTTGCAATTATAATCTCTAAGTTATGTCCCCAGTTACGAACCATGGTGAACCAATTTGATCCATCTTAACTGAACAACAACTGAACTCCTTGTTGCTACGAACCAATGTTTTCCAATCAACATGTACGGTTTAACCGAAAATAATTTGTTTTCTCTTTGATAATGAAGATCGTATCAATATGATTTGTGAAGAAGTTGTGCGTAAATTAAAGATTACACAGTGTATCTCATGGCGAATCAAGTAGCGTACAATATATAAACCAAAAACAACTGAAATTCAAATTTCTAAGCAAATACTAGTGAAACATTCCATCAATCAATCTATAAAGACTACATATATTTTCCGACGTGGTACCTATATATATGCGTATGTCACATTTATTTTTGGGTCGCCTTTTAGAGCATCTCACCATGTATATCTAACCAATATTATTATAATAATGTTAAATTGAGATTAATACAAATGAGGAACTTATATTTAGATAAGTAGTGACTGGTAAATGATAATCCCTTTAAAACAGATCTCTAGGTCATGTGGCAAATGGGCATTATTATCTAAAGGTATGTCACATATGTTATGTATGCATGATTATGCCACTTGTGTTATGTGTTATATTATGTGTTGTTTTATTTGCGTAAATCATGTAATGAATTTTACCAGAATACAAAAAAAACAAGGAAAACTTAGATTTCAACAGACTTGAAAAGCTCGTTGCAGCGATCAACCAATTTTTTTATAGTCTTAAAGACTAATTTTCTTTTGTCAACTAGACTAATTAGTTAGACCATGTTGCACCTAGACAAATACCATGAGTGGCGCGTGAAACCTCTTGCTGAACTAAAAGGTTTGGTCTCAAGAGCTTTTTTACCTTAATAACCGACGGAAAGACAATAATACCCCTGTTGAACATGGGAAATTACATAAGAGAGGGAGGGAGAGATTTAAGACAAAACAAAACAGTGGTCTTTGTGTTGCTGTTGTGTTTTGTTTGGGTGTTGTCTTCTTCTATTTCCTCTGCCCCGTTCACGTTGACGTTGTGCAACATCGGAAGCACGTACGGCTCCTAAGAATACTCCGTTTCGCCTTTTTTATATTATTTTTAAAAACACATTCTTAGAATAAACAAATTAAAACCCAAAGATCAAAAAGTGTCCTCTCTTTCTAATTATTTTTTTTTTAAATTTCTTTCTGTCTTTCATCTTTCAGATCCGAATCCTCGCCGCAAAATTCGTCAGTGCAGCTTCTTCTTCGTCTTCTTGATTCGATCGGCTGTCTGGAGGAACCATGAAGCGGATGATCGTAGGTACGATAGATTCATTCTCCCACGGAATTGGCTTTTTGTTTTTATTTCCTGATCGAATCGAAACGAAACGAAACAGATTTGAAAATATCTGCGAGGTTCGATTTTCATCATTGTTTCCGAAACCTTTACTAGGTTGCACTTTATTATTAAGGACCCGCATTGCAAATCTTTTTGGTTGAATTCGGAACAAACAAGAAATTTTTTGAATTTCATTTTGTCAATTTTGCTGATGTGATGAACTCAGATCAAAGGAATGTAGCTCGTCTCGAATTGTTTAAGGTACTAGTAATAACGAACGATTCCTCTTTAAGTTGAAAGAGCTAAAAACAAAAACAAAACAAAAAAAGTTAGAAAGATGACAAAGTTGAAGAATTGCTTCTTCTTCCTTTTGTCTTTTGAGCTTCCATATTTGGTGGGTCCTTTCATGATAATGATTTCGATTCTTGGCTTTGTCTCCAGAAAAAAATGTTCTTCTTCTCTTTACAATGTTTTTTTTTTTTTTGATCATGTAAGCAAGAAAATTGCATTGACTTAAAAAAAAATCATGTTATTTATTGTTTCCAAGTGATGCAGTTGCTAGTTACGGTGGATTGATGTTTGGAGTATTGAAAAGGTAGAGAATTTGAGAAAGACAGAGAGAGAGTCAGAGATAGAGAGTCTGAAAGGTGAAACAGTATGCTCGGGAATCAGTCAGGGGAATTTAGCGAGAATGGGGATGATGAGATCATCAGACAACTATGTGCAAATGGGATTTGCATGAAAACAACTGAGGTTGAAGCTAAGCTTGATGAAGGAAACATCCAAGAAGCTGAATCTTCTTTGAGAGAAGGATTGTCTCTCAATTTCGAGGTTTCTTTTAATGACTTCCCATCAATCCAACTTTTTATTGAAGAAAAGGATTATTAGTCTTTAGTTTTCGCTTTTTGTTTGTTTTCTGTGGTTACAGGAAGCAAGAGCACTTCTTGGTAGACTGGAATACCAAAGAGGGAATTTAGAAGGCGCACTTCGTGTCTTTGAAGGTATTGACCTTCAAGCAGCTATCCAGCGGTTACAGGTTTCTGTGCCTCCTGAGAAACCAGCTACTAAGAAAAACCGTCCCCGTGAACCCCAGCAGTTAGTTTCCCAACATGCTGCTAACTTGGTCCTTGAAGCTATCTACTTGAAAGCCAAATCCCTTCAAAAGCTTGGGAGAATTACCGGTAATTTCTCTCTTTTATGTGTGAGCCTCATTTTGTTTGCTTTTCACATTTACATCTTATAAATGTACATGACAGTTTGACAATGTGGTAAATCTGAGAGCATTGATCTTGGTACAGTCTTTGAATCTGAATCTTTCCTGGCTGGTTGTTTTATTCTGCAGAGGCCGCACACGAATGCAGGAGCGTTCTTGATTCTGTTGAGAAAATATTCCAGCAAGGGATACCAGATGCTCAAGTGGATAACAAACTTCAAGAAACCGTTAGCCACGCCGTTGAACTACTTCCTGCGCTGTGGAAAGAATCTGGTGACTACCAAGAAGCGATAGCCGCTTATAGACGCGCGCTTCTAAGCCAATGGAATCTTGATAATGACTGTTGTGCAAGGATTCAGAAAGATTTTGCAGTCTTTCTTCTACATTCTGGAGTCGAAGCGAGTCCACCGAGCTTAGGTTCTCAGATCGAGGGCTCGTACATACCTAGAAACAACTTAGAAGAAGCCATTCTTCTTCTAATGATTCTTTTAAAGAAATTCAACCTCGGGAAAGCGAAATGGGATCCGTCTGTGTTTGAGCACCTTACCTTTGCGTTATCTTTATGTAGTCAGACATCGGTTCTCGCCAAGCAGCTTGAAGAAGTAATGCCTGGTGTGTTTAGCCGTATTGAGCGTTGGAACACTTTGGCTCTTTCTTATAGTGCAGCAGGTCAAAACAGTGCTGCAGTTAACCTTCTTAGAAAGTCTCTGCATAAACACGAACAACCTGATGATCTTGTGGCTCTTTTGTTAGCTGCTAAGCTTTGCAGTGAAGAGCCTTCTTTAGCTGCAGAAGGTTCGGGTTATGCGCAGAGAGCTATAAACAATGCACAAGGCATGGATGAGCATCTGAAAGGCGTTGGTTTGAGGATGCTAGGACTTTGCTTAGGGAAACAAGCGAAAGTTCCCACATCGGATTTCGAAAGATCTCGGCTTCAATCAGAATCATTGAAAGCATTAGATGGTGCTATAGCTTTTGAGCACAACAATCCTGATTTGATCTTTGAGTTAGGTGTTCAATACGCGGAGCAACGGAACTTAAAAGCTGCATCGCGTTACGCCAAAGAGTTCATCGATGCCACGGGAGGGTCGGTGTTAAAAGGATGGAGATTTCTCGCTCTTGTTTTGTCGGCTCAGCAACGGTTTTCAGAAGCTGAAGTTGTGACCGATGCTGCTTTAGATGAAACGGCAAAGTGGGATCAAGGACCTCTCTTGAGACTTAAAGCAAAGCTGAAAATCTCTCAGTCAAATCCAACAGAGGCTGTAGAGACTTATCGTTACCTTCTTGCATTGGTTCAAGCGCAAAGGAAATCTTTCGGACCTCTCAGAACTCTCTCTCAGGTTTCTAAATCTTCTTTAATCTATTGAGATCATCAATCAAAACCTTCTTCTTTTATTGAAGAAAACATTTTACAATAACAGATGGAGGAAGACAAAGTGAATGAGTTTGAAGTGTGGCATGGCTTGGCTTATCTTTACTCAAGCCTTTCGCACTGGAATGACGTGGAAGTCTGCCTGAAAAAGGCCGGCGAGCTGAAACAATACTCTGCTTCGATGCTGCATACAGAAGGCAAGAACAAGAACCCATTTAACTAATCACTTAGAATCCAATTCTTGATTTACTCAAATTCGGTTTGAATCCTTGGGATGATCAGGTCGAATGTGGGAAGGACGAAAGGAGTTTAAAGCCGCGTTAGCAGCCTTCTTAGACGGTTTATTACTAGACGGATCATCGGTTCCTTGCAAAGTAGCGGTTGGAGCATTGTTGTCTGAAAGAGGGAAAGATCATCAGCCGACTCTCCCCGTGGCGAGAAGCTTGCTTTCTGATGCATTGAGGATTGATCCGACAAACCGAAAAGCTTGGTATTACCTAGGAATGGTTCATAAATCTGATGGACGTATAGCTGATGCTACTGATTGCTTCCAAGCTGCTTCTATGCTTGAAGAGTCTGATCCTATTGAAAGCTTCTCAACCATTCTTTAAAATCCCAAAAACGTATCATAAAGATTTATATTTTATATGTTCATTTTTTTTTCCTTATCATATCATGTACAATTTTAACCCCTTAAACTAAATATATGTTTTTTCACGTTCCAAGAAATAGAAAGAGTATTTTTCCAAATTTACTTGTAAAGATGCATTATCATATCTGTAGAAGTGTGAATTCGATGTTAGACATCTTTCACTACTGGTCGACAAGGCCTTAATTGAACAAGAAAAAGATTGCCAGACTAGTGAATCTGTCAAAGAGCCAGCTCTGAGCAAGAGTTTGGACACCTAAACTAACATTATCGAGGTGATGCAAAAGCAAGAAGGCTATGATTATAATCTCTATACTTCTTTTCTTCTATAGACGAAACTGAGATTTAGCAATTCTACAAATTTCAACACCAAAATCCATTTCGATTACAATAATTATAATAAATAGAAAGAGAAACAAAGTCAAACATTACAAAACAAAACAAGTCTGGTAGTCTCTCTACTAGCTCTTGGGGATATTAACACCGACGATTTTAGCCGGAGTAATGCGAAGAAGATTGCCAGGCTTACCAGGCAAAGCACCTTTGATCATGACAACGTTAAGCTCCTTATCAACTTTAACAATCTTAAGCTTCCTGATCTTGGTCCTCGTCCCTCCCATTCTCCCAGGCATCTTCTTCCCTTTGTAAACCCTTCCGGGAGTAGTACCAGCACCGATCGAACCCAAAGCACGATGACTCTTGGAACCATGAGTCATCTGACCTCTCTTGAAGTTATGCCTTTTGATTCCTCCTTGAAACCCTTTCCCAATCGTCGTCCCAGCCACGTCAACGAAGTCCCCTTCTTTGAATATCTCGTCGAACACGAGCTTCTGGTTCGTCTCGAATCCTTCCACGTTTACTAACCTGAACTCTTGCAGATGTCTCATTGGGATCGTACCGGCTTTTTGGAGATGGCCCATTTCCGGTTTGGTTAGCTTCTTGTCTCGTAGTCGACGGTAACCGATTTGAACCGCGTCGTAACCGTCGGTGGCTAGGGTTTTGATTTGGGTTACGATGTTGCCTTCGCGGAATCCGACGACTGTTACTGGAACGACTGTGCCGTCGTCTTCGAAGAAACTCATCATACCGAGCTTCGAACCCATTACTCCGATTCCAGCTTCCATGGATGCTGAAACAACGAATCTGGTTTTGGGTGACGATTTGATGACAAGTGAAGAGGATTTCGCTGGGAGGAAGGTGGGGGTGAAGAGAGATGAGGATAAAGTCGATTTGTTGAGTAGAGATGGGAAAGAAACAACCGCCATAGCCATCGCCATTGTCCCAAGATACCCACACTGAGAAGAAGAAGAAACTCTAAGAGGATAGAGCTCTGTGCCCACTCTCTTATCTTCTTTTCTTCTCCAATCTAATTACAAATTTTACGAAATTTATTATTATACCCTTGTAGATACTAATATTTACAACACATTGTGGATTCCTTTTTGCAATATCGGCCCTGAAAATTCAAATTTTTCTTCATCTCGTTCTTAATTTCTTCTCATGTTCAATTTAACCACCTTTGGAATTAGTGTTTATATAAGTTTAGCACAAGTGAGGTGATTGTCAAAATATATATAAATGATGATTCTCACAAGGATATAATCATATAATGTTCAAACAACACCGAGAAAATAAGAATAATTATGGTTTCAAATTAAGACACAAGCCAATCCATCATCACTTTAGAGGTTCTTTCTAGTAAAACGATGACTGATGATTGGGTTTAAAGACGAGAGATAAGAAGAGGAACAGAGGCAGGTCCTTCCTCGCCCATCACAGGCTGAAACAGATCCAACTCACCATACCGCTCCAAAACTCGCATCCTACAATCTTCAGCTGCCATCAATCCAGTTGAATATGCGCCGTGAACCGAGCCCGGGAAGCTTGAGCTCGTCGCTTCACCGGCAAAGAATAAGTTATCCACTGGAACCCTAAGCCTCTCGTAGAGATCATGAGGTTTGCCCACGATATCATAGCTATAAGATCCCAGTGAATTCACATCCGATCCCCACCTTGATACAAGATACTGTACCGGAGGCAATGCATCGGGGAGAATTTTCTGGAGTTGCAAGACCGCAAAATTAACAGCTGCTTCATCAGACATTTTCTCGATGTCTTTAGCGAGCTGACCAGCCGGCATGTAAACCAGGACTGGATGACTCGTGGCCTTGTGCAGGTTCAAAAAATAACTGCAACCGTAGGAGGTTTCAGCTACCACTCCTAGAAACTCTACTTTCGGCCAGAAGACTTTCTCAAAATGTAGTATAATCTTGTTCTCGATACCTACTCCCAGGTCGTTGATTGCTTCTTGTTTCCACTCTGGTAGCTTTGGTTCGAACTTTATGGTTCCGGATTTCAAAACTCCAAGAGGAACAGCAATGACTGCAGCATCGGCAACAAATGTTTCCCCGTTTTCTGTCGTTACCTTCACTCCATTGTACCGCCTTACAATCTTAGTAACCCTGAGATAAGGAAAAACACCAAGGTTATGACCGCAAAACACTGAGCGAATGTCAAAACTATTTGAAAAACGCAAGGCTTACCTGTGGCCTACTCGGATATCAAGACCTTTTGCCAGCGTGTTGATGACAGGACGATAACCTCTAACCATAAGACCGTGTCCACCAGGCAGTAATTCCTCCTGCACATTTCTCAGAATGTTAAACCAGGAACCAGGAAACAGTATGTACTAAAACCATCAACTCCAACAGTATGTACTATGTAACAAACCTGGTCCCAACACTTTGCAGAGATGGTTTCAGCATCGGCGGCAAACCATCCTTCCATGCGGCATACATACCATTGAAGTACATTGTGTGCAAGACCCTCTAACCTGGATGTGGAAATTCAAATTCAAACATGAAACCAAGCAAACAAAAGTGCATCGACTAAAGAAATAAAAAAAGTGGGAGATTATGTTTACAAACCTCAACTCGGGTTTCCTAGCAAAGACAATTGAGAAAGCCTTAGAAATTGACATGTCTGCATCCTGCTCATCCCTGACTTTATTGATCTGTATTTGCAAAAGACGAAACTAGTTAAGATGAGCATAAAACAAAGACTTGCAACATCAAAAATATGAGAATGGGAATATGAAAGAAGAAAAATAAATGAATGTGATGGGCATACCTCTTCCAAAATATGCTCAAAAGTTATGCCAACTTCAGTCACCAACTCTTGAGGAACTTGGTTGCCATCCATATCAAACAGAGCATAGCTTCAGAAACCAAAGAATTGCAGTGTGAGTTTCAAGGTGTCAAACAAGAGTTAAAAGAAACAGAAGAGGGAGATTAAAAAACCGGAATATTTAAGCAAACCTTTCGAGATCATGGTCATACAAGACCGAATTGTCACCGCTAGTACGATACAAGGGCAGCCCCAGTCTTCCAATAACTGGTGCCAGAGGATTCTCTTTGCATACTCCATGCAACCTGTGACAAAACGATGTTGCTATGTCAGCAAAGTTCACCAAAAAACAAAAACATCATCCACTGAAAAGATTAAAGAGCCGTGTCATTACCATGATGCACCAAGATCAACAGGAAAACCAAATGAGTAATCAGTGTGAACTCGTCCACCGATTCTGTCACGAGACTCCAGCACCATAACCTAAAACACAATCAAAGAATCACACCGTGAGAAAGACATGATGATCACTCTAGAAGAAAACATGAACCCAAGCTGCCCAGAGAGGTCATTAAAACAGTTGTTAGGAGGAGATAGTATAAAACATAAAAAACTTGAAAGAGCAGTGGTTGTGTATAAATCAGAAACCTGAAAAGAAGCATCTTGAAGAGTGCGAGCAGCAGAGATTCCACCAAAACCACCTCCGATGACAATCACCGACGGTGACCTTGTCTTCATCCTCTCACCAGCTGAAAAGCAATTAGCTGTCACACAAGAATCAACGACCGTTCAAATCCAATAATTAAAAATTACGGATTAAACAAGGACTTAAACCCCACCAACAATAAAAACTTGTGGCAATCAGCAAATACAGCCAAAACACCGACAGAGAAATAAGCACGAGGGCAAAATCGAGCACCCAAAAACAAAAACAAGTAAACCAAATAACCCAGATTAGAATCTAGAAGAAGAAGAAGAACCCTGGATGGATTCATCATATGCATCAACAAACACAATCCACAAACAATTTAAAAATCCGAAATTTCAGAGGGAGGATGAAGAAAACAATACCTCTACGCATTTGACGATCAGAATTTTTCCTAGACTCCATGATTTGTTTGCTTCAATAGATCAAACGATTACTCTCGAGATTATTATTAGAATTACGATTACTATTGTTATTATTATTATTACTATTAAGCTGGGGAGAAAAATGAAGGATGAAGATAAGAAGACAAGTCGTGAAGTGGCTCGAAATCGAAGATGAAAAGATCAGGCTTCCAAACAAATTCATGCGATTTCTCTTTTCTTCAGGATTTTTAAGCCCCCCTCTGTTTTTTTTTTTTTTTCTGTGTTCACTCTGATTTACTCAGCCGGCCAATAGCAGCGTAGATCTACGACGATCGGCGAGATAGGAAGCGTAATTCAGGCTAACAATGGGAGGCCAACAAATAACAAAATCCCAGAAACGAGATGAAAGAGCAAAGGCGAGGTTGATTACTAGAGAGAGAGAGAGAGCGAGAAAGATGAAAAAACAGAGACTTCTAGAGAGAGAGAGAGAGACAACAACAAAAATAAAAAGGAGAGATTTTTTATTTTCTGAAGGCTATTGGAGTCGTATGGGTCGGTAAAGTAGGTTAGGTTGTGTAATATATAATATCGCATAAGCTCCCTCAGTTATCACTATAATTTGATAATTTTCTTATTGGACACTAGGTTTCTTGTTTTCATTTAATTATTTTTATTTATTATGAGTATATTTTACCATTAAATTAAAAAAACATGTTACTACTTTCCTGATTGAAAATTCATATTTACATCTTAATATCAAAAGAGCTCAATATTATTAAGATATTCTACCAAATAGTGTTTTGAACAACATCAATAAAAGAATTAAATACACTACAATATTTTCATTACTATTGATAATACAGATATTATTGATCAAACAATACCACAAAATAAAACTCAATTACATGTTATATAACTTAAATATGATTTTTTAATAGCTTTAATATTCTATATATACTGATCAATTTTAAATAATTTTTTTGTTAATATCATATATGTTTTCATATTATTATTTTTAGTTTAATATTGTGTGAATTTGAGGGAGTGGAAATCACGTGTTCGACTGGGCACCCTTGATAACTTACGTAACTTATCAGGCCAAGTGGTCCAGTAGGGAGCACGTGTCATGCAATTATACGTTGTCCATCAAAATCAATAGTTTCAACACGCCAGCTATTTTGTCTGTATCTGGTAAATAATAAATATTTTGCATCGTTAAGACAATAGTTTTGTTATTAATGCGACAACGTGATTTTTTTGATATACACAACTTTCTAGACGTTTCCCTTGAGTTTGGTAAGAATTCAAAATCAAAACTTTTTACCCAAGTGTTGCCACGTAGACTGGTTTTTATTCATCAATTTATATTAGTTATAAATCTAACAAATTTCTTTAGTTTTAATTCTATGTATTAGTATGATTGACAACTAATTACTTAATCACGGAATTTCAAATATTATTATATGAGATATGTCATACATTTGTTCGGGGTTGGAATTTTTGGGCTTGATTGGCTGAGTTTAATGTGACAATATTTAATGTAACAATGGAATTCTTTGAATAAAAAATCTCTCCACGTTTATAATGATTTTGATATGACGTTACTGTGTTAGTGGTTTTTGTGTGGATATTAATACGTTCTTTAAGAGATAATGATCACAAAATATGTATGATTTTATTTGGTTGTCAACAACATATTGTTGTGTCCAGTTAATTAAACATAATTGTTGAGAATTATGATCAGTCTAACTAGGATTTACTTCTTGCAATCGATTAATGCCCTCAATTTTTACGTACGACACGCTATTTAACACTCTAATCAAAATTCAAACATACACATGCAATTTCACTAGTTCTCCAATATCATAACGATCTTACTTGCATATCATCACAGTGATGATTGAGCCTTAATTAAATAATTTAAGCAGTGAACTATCAAACAGGGGGTTTTGAAGAGTTACATAAGCGTTAGGGAGAAAATTACAAACTGAATAAGAACAAATTTAACAAGCTAACATACTTAAACAATTTCAATAACTTTGTGTTCTTGTGATTGAGTTCCTTGGCTTAACTGAATACAATTTTAAATCGAGATACTTGAGGTGAATCGAGACTCAAATTCTATCTCTGGTCAAAAGTCGAAGTTCCTCAATTGCCATAAAGATATCTATATGAAGTCCTTAAGACAATAAATTGTATTTGATTCTAATATAAATTATAAACCACCGTGGAAATTTTATTCCAAATACCTTTTTACCAAGCATGACGTTTTTTATAAAACTTTTATGACGTAACACCATGAAAGTGACTAAAAGGGACACATGTAGTTATGTTCGATCATCCAACGAACAAATAAACGAAAACTGTTAACGAGATTTTGATGTTTTGCCACACACCATCACTGTTTTCAACTGAAAAAACAAAAAATATAAAAGTAAAAATAGACCACATAAGAAAAGAAAAAAAGAAAGAAATATAAGACTAATATTATAGAGGTATCTTAAAAAGCAAAAATACTCCAATTTTCTAAAGAAAAGATTTTACATAAGATATTTTCTTTGCAAAATTGGAGATACTCCTTATAAAGTTGTCCTAAAGGAACAGCTGAAGATATGTTGGCTCGGTCGATCAAACACAAAAGCCTCAATTATAAATTAACCACTAAAATCATATCCATAGAAAAGAAACAAATTGTCAACCTAAATGAAAGAAAGTTAAGAAACTCATCTTAGCAGTTTGGTTTAAAACACGTATTTAATGAATCATAATTTGAATTAGACTAGTAAACCTAACATATAATAAAATTTATATACAATTCCAATTATTATTTTTCATCCTTTTTAGTTTGTACTATTCTACACTTTTTTGTTTTGCCACAAAAAAATAATGTTATGCTGTTGTTCGACGAAAAAATAAAACGTCTGGGGTGTCTGTATTGACCTTTGATCGGTTCCACTTTCTATCAACTGTTTTTAGGCTTTCGAATAAACTATACATTAATCTTTCGACTGTTCAAAAAATATCTAAGATATTTAACTCAATAATTGCTAAAATAGATTGTGACCAGATGAGCACATGGCTAAAAACTTGTATAATTTGACACTTGACAGATGACTCTTTCATTGAAATCTGCCCCATCACATGTGACTTGCCTTTTCCCATCTCTATAATTTTAGACAATCATGTTACATTATAATTGTTTTTTTCAACGAACAATAACAAGATCCTCATTCCAAAGTTTCCACAATTACAAAATCCTCACATCCCTTTACAAAAATCTCATATCACTTTGACATATTGTAAAACTCGCATATACAGAAAATAACGTAAAAGAGGTTGTACGTACGTTGTTGTACTCTATAATATTACATCTCTTAGAACGTTTTAATTTTATGTTCAGAAAGTTATAAGCAAACATACCCAAAAAAAAAATAGAAGGAAGAAGTGACACTTCAAACCCTAGTGGTCCAAACGAGGACCTTCGGTGGTCTTGGTCGGCGCAGACGGTTGTTGACTTTGCTGTCCCGCCGGCGACCCAAATCTCATCATCTCCATCGCCTGAGTTTTTTTTTTAAACCACAGCGTATCAGATAAACTACGTCGTTTCAAACAGTCAAGTGGTACGTACGGCTTCGTATTAATGATATAACCCATATATACTCTGTGCCGTATTGGCCTTACCTGAGACGCGGCCTGCATCTGTTGAATCTGTGGGAAGCCACCGATGTACTTAGCAAACCGGTCAGAGAAGACCTGGTTTTGTACCGGGTTCTGACTATCTAAACCGGGATTGTTCTGAATTGCAGGCCTACCCAGAACCGGAAATCGAGGTAACGGTACGGGGATCTGCATCTGACGTATGAACGGCGGAGGCTGTACTCCGGGGAACATCATCGGAGCCGCCGTCATTCCACTCCCCATCCACATCACTTGAAGCTGTAACTGAAGTGATTTCAAATAATCTATGGCTTCGTCCAAAATCGAAGCTTTATCAGTCTACAAAGACAAACCAAATATTACACCAATGAACTAATCAAATCTCAATTTTAGATTCGATTTAGTAACTCTTACTTTACTGCAGTGAGGTATAAGTTCTTGCAAAGCCTTCATTCTCTCATTGATCCTATCTCTCCTCCTCTATATAAATTTAGAAAAGAAGAAAAACAGAGTTTTGTATCGGTTTTTTCTTGGTCGGAATGATGTGTGATCTTTCTAACATTAAACTATATTATATCATATATAGATGAACCGATGCAGTACCCTTTCGGAGAGATTATGAACTTCAGCTGCTCGACTCCTTCGTGTTGATCCTGATCGTTGGTTCGACTTGTTACCGGTTGCCTACAAAACGTATTATATAAACAATCAAGAACTCTGAGCAACGTACACTGAAAATTTTAAAAACGTTTTCAAGAACTTATCCTCACGAGTCAAAAGTTAAAGCATACATCTGATTGAGACACAGATTCATCAGTGTCCATTATGTGTTTTCTCTTACGGTCTGTTGTTATGCTTCCTCCACTAGCCATTTCTTTGATATCTTTGCCAAAGCTGCAACCAGAGGAGCCACCTGATGAGGAACTTGCGTTCGGATAAAGCTTTTCTTTTATGTTTTTGCTCCGAGCATGACTCATTGAGACATCGAGATCGCTCTGGGATGGGTTACTCCCGCAATGGCTAAGTCCAACGGTCGTCACAGAGTACTGTTCCTTTCCTAGTTCCATGTTTCCTGATGATGAATCAGTTAACCTAAACTTAGGAGGAGGCATGACTTGAGGATGGTCAGAACCGGCCTTAGTCTTAGCCATGACTTGAGGAGGGTCAGGAACGGGCTTGGGCTTAACCGTCTCTGAGGTTTGTCTCTGGATGGAGTCTACGGTTGAGAAGAAATGGGAGGAGAAGTCGTCTGTTTCGAATGGGTCTTCATCCGGAGGGTACTGGATCCAAGAGACAGTTTCTTGATCTTCAAGAAAAGTGTTGGATCTTAGGGCTCCTTCATGATGATCTTGCTTCTGGGTCTGGGTTTGGTCCCTATGAGTTTGGCTCTGCAAAACCACTTTCCCATCTCGCCATAACAACTCCACTAGTTCATCTTGTGGCCTAGTCAGAAATACAGACAACATGCATAGACTATAAAATATAGGTATTTTTGTAAGTAAAATGCTAAATGAAAACATCAGATCAAAGATTAATATAGTATATAGATACCTTATGGATCTTCTATTATTGGACAAACTATAATTATCCTCAAAACTCCAACCCTGGTGTTCCATGTCAGATCTCTGGAGACATTTCAAAAGGGAACAAAATAAAAACGTTTTTATTAAGCTCAGAATATATATTTGATGTAAGTGAACAGAGCTAATGATAACTTATGATTAAGAGAGATACACGGACGGACAAGTCGGAATTTTATAATTCAGATCGAGTCTCAAATAGTATATTTACTATAATCATTATAGATGATTAAAAAATTAATTAATTTTAAAGCAAGTCCATGAGGTTCTCGTTCTCAAGTAATCTTTTTATATTCCAGCAATCTAGGAAGTAGGCTTAGAAAAAGAGTCATTTCTAGATATAGCAACATGTTTAAAAAAAAAAAAAAAGTCCGTTTAAGAAAGAGTACAGAGTACTGACCAGATTAGGAAAGCTTCTGGACGAATCAGAAGTTGAAAGAGAAGATGGATACCTGATCTGTGGAAGTCCAAGTTCCACGCCCAACACAACTGTATCTCTCTCTCTCTCTCCACTCTATCTTGTTTCTCTCACTCTAAGATAAAAACCAAAGAGACCAGAAGATTTGTTGAGAAGACTCACTCATAAAAAACATGAAAGAAACAGAGACGAAGATGAGTGAGTGAGAGAGAGAGAACTTCTTTTTTTTGGGGTATACACTATACAGACAGAAAGCGACAGGAATAATTAGCATAAAGAGTGGATTACATTACATTACAGCGAGGGGGAGATAATGATTCTCTAAGGACAACAGTACCTTCAATATCTTGTAATGAACGCCACGTGGAGAGTTCTGGGACATTATGTTGGAATCAGTGGGACGCACGAGTTGAGCGAATGAGATCTATTGCTCGATTTCTAGAGGTGGTTTCTTATCTGTACCTTATCTGAAAACACACACTCTGACTACAATGATTTGAGGGTGTTTTTGTCATATCCTATACTGTCATGGTCTATGGCTTTTTAATTATTTTTTTTTGTCTACACCTTTCTCCTATACTTCTTTGTTTTGCTCTGAGAATAATTATCTTTAGTTTTGCTATGAGCCAAATTAAGTTACGTGCTTTTTTGTTATCTACGATATAAGTGAAGGGTGATTTTATTATCCGAGTTCAATGCATGGTCTCATTTAATTTGAGGCAGACGAGAGCCTCAACGAGTTTTATAACGTTTTCATATCATGGTTTTTGGCATTTTATTCACATTTACAGGAACTCTATGATGAAGAAAAACAAGAACGTATATTTTGGTTGTTTGATAGAATTTTACACTACAGACTACTCCAGTTAATTAGTTTCTGACCTTTCCAATGTTCACCTAAGAATTCAGCAAATTAATGTACTACAGCGTGATTTCGAAAAGGATATAGTGTGTTCTTCGTTTATTGATTCACATCGTTTTAAATATGCAATTAATTATGTTTGTCGTAGTTACAATTATTCGTGGACCATATGGTGCCTCCTGTAATGGACCATATCCCATACCGCGTCTCGGTTACTATTTCTCACATCCATCACATTGATTAGGCTATTGGTTTAAAATTTTCATAGATTTGTGATAAACCGAACAGACGGAATAATGACAGCATCTAATCTATTGAATGGTGGTCTTAGGATACACTCGATCGCACGAATGATTCTTCTTTCTCTTTTTCTTTGTCGAATGTGTTATATATTGATAATGGAAAAACATTATCGTTGTTATCATATTCTATTCATTATTATTTCTTTTATTATAATAATCGATTCTCTTGCATATAACAGAAAACTCGACAAAGGTTATTGAAAAACAAAATTAAGGTTCGTCGCAAAGTGCAACAACAATAAGCGGACTTATGATTTGAATAATGGGCCTTTCGTGTAAAACCCGGAAATATAATTATAAGAAAGAGGCCCAAAACGTTTCCTTTATTGTTTGGTCAAAAATCTTGGATGAACAAACGAAACAAAATTACTTTTTATAGGAAGTATAATCGAAGAGAAGTTGCGTCAGAGTGTTGGCGGTTCGAATCTTCGTCACACCAATCTGTGTGTAATAGTAGTCTATGCCGGTTCCCACCGACCTCATGATGAAGTGCTAATTCATAAACCCACAAATCAAAATGCCAACGTTTCTTACTATACTGTTCTTCTAAATTGGATACTTGTTTAATCTTTTCTTTGTGTTTGAAGTATGAACATACCCTTTATAGAAACCTGATGCTGATATATATCATCATTCAATGTTTCTTTCTTTTTCGTGTCGAGTAAATTCAAAAAAGTTATGGAGTTTGAAAACTTGGATATTATGTTCCTTTGACTCTCTCTTCCTCTTCTTTGAAAACCTTTGTTAATTTATTTTTTTGTCTTCCCGAGAAGATTGGATGCGTACTAATATAGTTGTGGCAACTTTTATTAGTACTATTTGTTTTATTTTCTAATTTCGATAATGAATTTAATTGATAATATTCAACAGTCAAAATCTGGACTTTGAATGTTTTTATAGATCAAATGAGTCATTTTCCCATTTGGCCACAAGAGAGCTAAGTTATAGTTCGATAAACTTATTTCCTCTCTCCATGCCGTCGTTTTAAACTCCATCTACGGATTTTCACCTATATATTTAACTTCTAGTAACTTTTGTTGTTTTGAGATTTTTCAACCTTGCAAAGGAAAAGTTATATGCCATCCTTTGATCTCAAAATGCTCGAATCTTTTAAACATGTAGACTAGTTTTGAGATCAAAGGCGATATACTTCGTTCATGGACTATCTTACTAATCATTCCAACTATTTTTAATTTCTCGTAAGATAATGTTAAGTGGAGTGGTTAATGACTCATTATGAGATCACGTAGGCGTCATCTTTACATCATGCATGATTTACTATCTTCAACCAGTTTCTGATCTACCAAGACTCCTATTTGCTATTTTAAGAGTTTTTTTTTATATAGTAATAATTAAGTAGACAATGGTGTAGTTAGAAAAGATAGAAGTGTACATGATGATAAAATAACATTGGTGTGGCAAAAAATATGTAAATAACTACTTGCTATTTGTTGCCGCCCAAGAACAACGATAGTAACACTTGTTCATCATTCAAACGTATACCCTGGACTCTGGTCTTTCTGCCTATTACAATATCACTTGTGCTGATTTTGTTTCAGTGAGAAATATTTCTACACAGAGTTATATATGTTGATTTGTCCAAAAGATTTATAACATGTTTCGGATTGTAACAGGAAAAGTAGTACTCCTCCCTGACTAAGTATATATACACCATGTACCATGTACCATGTACGTTTGGATTTGGCTCCCCGGCTATCAAAATAGTAAAAGTCTATAATGGAGGCATATTTAAAAGTTATCTTTTGGTTCCATCACTTATGAGAATCTTTGTTTAATACTGTGTATATCTTATATATATTCTTCATTATTTTGCAAAATTATGATATGGTCAAACCACGTGACTTCACCTACACGTATGTATTGAATTTACAGTTTATTTGATAAATCTCATATAATTACTGTATTATACGTAACAACTACGGATAACGACATGTTTGAATTTCGGTTATATATTATTACATCATATATAGATTATAGTTGCAATCAATGAGTTAATTATGTTCCATTTCCCTGGACTTTTCTCCGTAATATTTAATAGCCACCTATATCAACATTATTAAACTATTAGTATAACACTTTTTTCTTGTTTGTTATATAGTATGTTTGATAAATATCTCCAAACACAGCCAAGAGAAGCTAAATTTCATTCTAAAAATTCCATAATTTCGAAGGAAAAAAACTACTCAAACTTAAAGTTTAGAAGGCAAATATCCTGATAATTCAACCACACGACCTAAATTAGTTTAGATTTGTTGAGGTTACATAAAACATATCACCAGTTAAAGGTGGCAATAAATTATACAGTAGAAAATTATCGCATTCATAAATCAGAATATCAAATCACAAACGATTATACCCGTAAAATGATTTTTTATATATTTGGGGAAGTCTATATGTGATGTTGTGTGTATAATAATAGTCAAAGTCATTCGTAATTGACCGAGCACCAATTAAACGCAGAAAAATAATCATTAATAGATTAAAGTTTGCCTCTCTATATATATATGCATTATGGAACTTTTTATGTAGAGAGACTTGATTGGTATTTGAGAGAGATCGATGTAGTGAAGATGAGTGGCGAAGGTAAATTAGGTAGAGATCATCATGAAGAAGAAGGTGATGCACCACTTCCAGGATTCAGATTTCATCCGACAGACGAAGAGCTTTTAGGGTATTACCTTCGACGAAAAGTAGAGAACAAACCCATCAAACTCGAACTTATCAAACAAATCGATATCTATAAGTTCGATCCTTGGGATCTTCCAAGTAAGTCTTTTTATTGGATCTCACCTATTTTATAACTAGATTTTCGTATGATAGGCAATTTTAATAATATTTTCTTGTTAAAAGTATTCATCAATCACGTTGCTTCCTTATTGTTTTGTAATTATGATCATATTATTGAAAAGAGTTGTTTTTTTTTTCTCCCATTGATTAGTAGCTCAGTAATAAGAGATGTCCAATTTGATCTCCTATGAGTCAGAAACATACAAAATAGCAAAAGAGTATATTAGGAAAACCGACTTGGTAATTTCAATTTTGATAACTAGATATCTAAATATTAAGATAGCAGACCACGATTTTCTTCTTCTTCTTTTTCTTAGCTAATAGAAACAATTTGATTGTGTGAAGTCAATTACGAAAAAAATATGGATTGAACACCCTCGATGATTAATATAAACTTCATATAAATATACAAAACTCAAAATCTGAATAGAACAACCTGCTAGTCAAATGGGGAACTTGGGAAATGCATGCGACACTATAGACATGTTTAAAAAAGTGGCCATCAGTTTTGGTTTTATAGGAAACACTTATACTTTCAAAAAGTAACACCCAAATACCTTATATATGCGGCCATGCATAAAATGTGCCTTTATCATCTATCGAATGAAGATATAGAACACTTATAACTTCTTTTTTTTTTTTTTGCTAAAATGCAAATATCATATAAATGAAAGGTTTGGTCTTTCAACCATTACAACATTGATTTCCTGGCAAAAAAGAACACTTATAACTAACTATTGCATGTGTGTTTTAGTATTCCTTTTCTATAATAACCTTTCAAGAAACTAATATGAACTTTGTTACGGTGGATTTCTTAATAATAGGAGTGAGCAGCGTCGGGGAAAAGGAGTGGTACTTCTTCTGCATGAGAGGCAGGAAATACAGGAACAGCGTTAGACCAAACCGAGTCACCGGTTCAGGTTTCTGGAAAGCTACTGGTATTGACAAACCGGTTTACTCCAACCTAGATTGTGTCGGTCTCAAGAAATCTCTGGTTTACTATCTTGGTTCAGCCGGTAAAGGCACCAAAACCGATTGGATGATGCATGAATTCCGCCTCCCCTCTACCTCCAAAACCGACTCGCCAGCTCTACAAGCTGTGAGTATTATTTTGTTCTTGTTTTATTATAATATAATTCTTTTTTTTTTTTTTTTTTTGTAATCTAAACATAAGTTAAAAGAAAAACCAAGAAAGGTATGCATCAGGCTAAAACCATCTTGTCCATTTTAAGTGAGACAAGTTTCTAATATTCGTGGTGTTAAAACTGTAATTGCTTTTAAAAAGTCAGTCATGAATGCAAATTTCCATACGAGCTAGAGCTATTGAGAAAGCCACACCACATACTCTCTCATCATCATCAGTATGGACCCAACTTTTTGTTAAAACTTAGACCAACTAAATTTTTGTTTCACACAAAGACTAATTAGCTCTTCCAATATTATCCATTAGTGATTAGTTTATGTAATTTCGACTTTCGAGTAGCTGTTTGACCTATTTTTGTTCGAATTATCAAGATTTATCTAGTCTTTTTTTTCTTTTCATTAAGTCAATGACGACAATTTATGGACAGTTATGCATTTTTGAAATTTCTTTATAGCATCTGAAGATTTGAATAATCGTAACAAAAGTGCATCACGCATTCATAAATTGCTTTCAGATATTATTACAGTTTGGAATAAATACTAATGGTCCAATCTTGTTTTTTCGCAGGAGGTATGGACACTATGCAGAATCTTCAAACGGGTCACATCTCACAGAAACCCAACCATCGTACCACCAAACCGAAAACCGGTTATCACCTTAACCGACTCTTGTTCTAAGACAAGCAGCTTAGATTCCGACCACACCAGTCACCGCGTCGTTGATTCCTTGCCCTTGTCCCACGAGCCGCCGCTTCAGCCACATACTCCTTATTGGAACCAACATGCGGTTGGTTTCAATCAACCGACATATACCTGTAATGATAATAACAACTTCCTCAGTTTCTGGAACGTCAACGGTACTGGAGATTTCATCGGAGACTCCGCAAGTTGGGATGAACTTAGATCTGTTATAGATGGCAACACTAAACCCTAGTAATAAATTTTTCCTTTTCTCAGCTTTGTATAAAAAGATAAAACAAACCATTGTTTTTGTTTTTGATAATAATGACGTATCATGTAATGACACTTTTAATTGTTTTGATCTATAGTTTGCACCATATATATATGTTAAGAGGAGTAATATTTTTGGACAGCGTTAAAACTTAAAAGGACGTACATGAAGCTAATACTATTAAACAAACTCTTTAAAAAAGTTAGAGTATAGTTCAATATTTAAATAAAATCTAAAAAAATTTCTTGGATGTATTTAGGTGAAAACTTATCTAAGACAAAATTACGATTAAAAAAAAAAACGATTGGGTGATTGTCTGATACTTCTTGCTCAAGCAACCATTCATTTCCTCGATTTTTTTTCAACTTCTTCACATCCCATTCAAAGCTCTAATCTTCGAAATTGTATCTGACTGATTGAAAAGGTAGTACTCATAAAGAAAATTAAATAAGAATTTATGATCAATGAAACAGATTCTTGAGATGTTTGAAAAAGTAATCAGACACAATCTTATTAGTCCTCTCGGTAGGATGAAACGCGTCCCAGAAAACGAACTTATTCGCATCACTGCAAGTTAACATATTGTTCCGGCCGCAAAGAAATCCCATCTCGAACAATCCTGTGCCGCAACATGCAGAACTAGATACCTCTAGACCGTAAACATCAGGTTTGGTAACAATGTTCCAAATAATATCGTAAGGATTAGCAAAGAAAATCTTAATCCCAATAAGCTCTCTATTCAGTTTCATCACCAATCTTCTCAATCTCCCATTGAAGTCAACAGCCAAGTTATTATAATTCCGAGAACAGCTAAAAGGGTCGTCAAGATTCGTCACCCTCTCCAATGGTAGACATCCCATTGGCGAGATTCCTGTGAAAGACATTTTGCGAGCTCCGAGTCTGTAAAGATCCTTTAAGAACACCTCGGCTATCTCAATCAGAAAGTCTTGGTACTGACTGATGCTGAATTGAGATCTCCTATCCGGTAATGTGAAGTAGTTCTCAAGGAAATCGTTGGTTCCTATGCTGACTAAGTAGAGAGACTCTCTGATGATTCTGGCGGCTCTACGGTGGCCAAGATAGGCTGAAAGTTTGCTTTGGTATTCCTTATAGTACTCTACTTCTTTCCATAATGGAATCACGCCCTGAAATATCAAAACAAGACAATCATTTCGACATATCTTGTTATGCAAGAAATGAACAAGGTATTTTGAAGCGAATGGTGGACTTACAAGCACATCCGCGGTGGAGTTATCATAGCCGGTGCCAGCGGACGCAAAGCAAACTCCGGTGGCGAAATCAGAGATATTGTAAGACGGATCAAGGTAGGCTGGCACTGTCGGTTTGAGGCCATAAGCCTCGGAAGTGAAATCGGAAGAGAGACGACCGTTACAAAAGCGGCCGGTGGCGCGTCCACCTGGAAAGTCACGACCGTAAGGCTCGAAATTGGCTCTGGCCATTGTTGGTATGAAGTTGTTATTGCCGGAATCTACGGAAGAGTCACCAAAGACTATAATCGCCGGGACTTTTGCTCCGACGATGGAGACAAGAGTGGCCAAAATAATGCATAATATTAATGGTGACAAATAATGTGTTGCCATGCCAACAACTTGTTTAGCATGCGGCGATGGTACCTAGGAATTTCATTCAGTATATATACATATACTATATAGTATTTAATAAACTTTAATAACAGATATGTACGAATTCTTGTATTACGAACTGGGTTAATTTCAGTGTACTATAAGTTATTCGAATTCGGTGCTATATAATCTATTATTTCTTTTAGGAACATGAGATTTAAGATGTTGTTGTTATTGATATTTTATTTCTTTAATTGGGATTGAATTTTTTTTTTCTTCATAACTTTATTTAAATTTGATTAATGAAAGAACCAAACAAAAGGGACATAGTAGGAAGTATTTATTGAATTGGAAGTTTGGTAGTTGTATGATACATAATGCATGCATGCTCAGTGCGCACATTAACAGATATCTACCTAAACTAAGCAGTTTTCTTGTGCAGATATATAAATTTATTTTGGTGAAAGTAACACAATTTTCATCATAACAAAAAAAAAAAAGAATTAACACTATTTTTCTCACAACCCTATGCATACCACATTCAAATTTGGTTGAACTCATAGTAAAATATTAGTGAAACGCCACACCACTGCAAGGTGATAATTCTTCTGGTATAACATAAGTGTGACAAAAAAGAAAACACAAATAATTGAATATGGAGAAAGAAAGACTGTCGAAGAAAATACTGTGGAAGTGGTAGGTCGACAAAGGAGGTATTAAATTTTGGTTATAGTGAGATAAGTAGGTGGTGAGGTAATAAATGAAATGACACATGTAGAAGAGATGTATAAATTGTATATAGGCTTAAAATAATGTACGTAGACAGTTTTTGGTGGTTGCACCTCCACACTTTATGATTTCGCCTGACCCCGTGAATCACATGATTCGTAACAATCATATAGCCTCGTCAATTATATATACCTTTAAAAATGTTTTGGTAGCTGTAGATAATTAGGTCAAGCCGTCAACGTCAAGATTAAAGGTTAGAAAAATAGTTTTTGTGATTTGATTAGGGATGGCAAATCGTCTTTTATTATGTAGTCAACCCATTCTTTTTAGCGAATTTGTAAACATTTGTTACACATGTGATTGACATGAGGTAAATTAGAAGATATTTTCTAATTCTTTTTTTTTTTTTTTGGGCAAAGATATTTTCTAATTCTAGCATATGTAAATAGAGGATAAAATTTACTATGCATATAAATTAGAAAATTTTATACCAGCATAGTACCCATCTTTTTTTTTTTTTTTTTTTTTTTTTTTGTAGATTCTAGGCAAAACTGACTAAACACTCCAAGTTGGAAGGAGTCTTTCACTTTCTTCGTTAAAGCTAATCACTGTCTTTGACGTCGTGCAATTGTGTGTGCAGAGTGTTTTGTTCAGTTTATTCTCAGTGGTTCATGATGCCTTTCATATTAGAGAAACTAACGATTTGCCAAATTTTGTAACGTCAAACATATCGGCTACACTGCAATAATGCCGATAAACATGATTTTGAAAATGAAATATTAACTTTTCAAAACACATGAAGCATTTGTTTTTTGAATACGAAAAGTAAATTTGAACCCCGTGACTATAGCGAATAAAAGCGAGAAAAAGAACGAAGTTTTGAACAATATTCAGCATCTAAAAAAAAAAAGTTTTGAACAATATACAAGGTGGAATATATATATTGAAATTACGTGCACACTTGAAATGAATTGTTTGGTTTGGATTATAACAAACTGAATGTAACTAGTTAAGTTCATTACAGTTTGGTTAGGAACACGTTACACTTACACAGTATAATTCTGAAAGTCAAATTCGAATCTTTTGCTTTCTTAACAAAAAATACATGTATGTGAAAATGATTACATTTTTTTCAACTTGATCCATCACTTTATAAAAATAATTATTCTAGATATTCAACATACATTTACTAAATTATTTGATTTAGCAGTTCATGAAATTCCTCACTATATTCTACTATATATATATATATATATATATATTTATAATGAATAGTATGAATGAAAAATTGAGTAATAAGCTGATAATTAACTATAATATGACACTATCTCTGTCTCTATAGAATTTTCTTACTTTATCATCATTCCTTTCAATATCAACTTATTATATATAAATATTTTGTCTACAGTACAAGAATAATATTTGTAAAGAAAAAGTAAAACTTTTAAATTTTCAAAAATTTAAGATTTGGTGCATTTCCAACATGGGTTCTTGTTTCTTCAAGCTTTTTATTTATTTTACATAAAGTATTTGAATAACTGTTTATATGTGGTTAGTTAGTCACAGTCAAACACACACTTAGAAAGACATTTCTACAGTCAATTAAAGTATAATAACCTATTTGATCTTTAAAATGCTCTCTATTAAATTATACATTTTCTCTAATTAAAAAGTCGCATTATGGATGTGCGTTTGATCTGATTATGTGACAAGTAGTGAAAAGAATAATTTAGTTGAATATACTATTACACTGCAAATTAGGTTGTTTAATATATAGTAAGGCCTACTATAAAATATTACACATATCAAGTTTTACTAATGATGAAGTACGACCAAAATAAGTATGATAGCACTATTAAACAAAAAATTTCACATTCAACGAAAACGTTACAAATTTTCGAATATTTTTGTTGATAAAGATTCCACATGTTTGAATCGGTCTCACATGAAGAGAAGACCACCTACGATATTCTGTTAGTATGTCTAATATATTATCTGCGATTGTTGTTTCCTGACATCATGATATATGGCTTTCAGTCTCAGTCAAATAGATATCGAGTTGTCATTTATTTATAATTTATTTGATCTTCGGTTTGATTCCATTGACTTAAACAAAATCATATACTTCCCCTTACCTCTTTTTATGTTAGCTCGCTCCTCCTCTTTTGTCCTTAATGAGGCTATAACTCCATTCTCTCATCATAGGTCTCTCTTTCTCTTATCATAGGTTGCCGGAGATTTCTTATAATCTCAGCAGCTTAATGTCGACCAGACTAAGTATATTCCTTGGCCTTATTTTGTTCATTGTCTCACCACTTTCCGGGGATTGCAGAACTCTTTCCAAGAGACGTGAGTATAACTCTTCATCTCTTCATGGGTTTAATTCCCACTATCCGATGCATTTCAGTTCTGTTTCTACTTCGACAAGCAACTATTGCGGTTTATCCTCCACTGAACATGATCCTGCCAAGGATCACACAGGAGACACGGTGACGATTAATCAAGAAACAAAGAGAACAACACATTCAGTTGTTGATCTTAAAATCCAAGACCTCACAAGAATTCAGACGCTTCACGCACGGCTTCAGAAATCGAAAAATGAGAAGGTTAAGAAGAAGATTACCTCAGATATTTCTTCGGTGGAAGCTCCAGAGGCTTCACCGGGGAAGCTGGTAGCAACTCTTCAGTCTGGTATGACGCTAGGTTCTGGCGAATATTTCATGGATGTGCTTGTGGGCACACCACCAAAACACTTCTCATTGATTCTTGACACTGGGAGTGACTTAAACTGGCTCCAATGCCTACCTTGCCACGACTGTTTCCATCAAAAAGGTGCATTTTATGACCCCAAAACATCCACTTCATTCAAGAACATAACATGCAATGACCCTAGATGCGGCCTCATCTCATCACCCGATCCTCCAGTACAGTGCGAATCAGATAGCCAATCATGCCCTTATTTCTACTGGTATGGAGACAGGTCAAACACAACTGGAGATTTCGCGGTTGAGACCTTCACCATTAATCTCACAACCACTGAAGGAGAAAGCCTGGAGTACAAGTTGGAAAATATGATGTTTGGATGTGGCCATTGGAACCGAGGCCTATTCCGTGGTGCTTCAGGTCTGCTTGGGTTAGGAAGAGGACCTCTTTCGTTTTCTTCCCAACTTCATTCTCTCTACGGTCATTCATTTTCCTATTGTCTTGTCGATAGAAGCAGCGACACCAATGTAAGTAGCAAGTTGATCTTTGGAGAAGACAAGGATTTGCTAAGCCACCCAAATCTGAATTTCACTTCTTTTGTGAACGGGAAGGGGAATTCTGTGGAGACATTTTACTATGTACAGATCAAATCCATTCTAGTCGGTGGCGAAGCTCTTGATGACATACCTGAAGAAACATGGAATATCTCATCAGATGGTGCTGGTGGAACCATTATTGATTCGGGTACAACTTTAAGTTATTTCGCACAACCTGCATATGAGATCATCAAAAACAAGTTTGCAGAGAAAATAAAAGAGAAGTACCTGGTGATTAGAGATTTCCCTATCCTTGATCCTTGTTTCAATGTGTCTGGCGTAGAGGAGAACATCCAGCTACCTGAGCTCGGGATTGCTTTCGCAGATGGAGCAGTTTGGACTTTCCCCGTTGAAAACTCCTTCATTAGGTTGAGTGAGGATATTGTTTGTTTGGCAATACTAGGAACTCCGAAATCAGCCTTTTCGATCATTGGAAACTACCAGCAACAAAATTTCCATATGCTCTATGATACAAAGAGGTCTAGACTAGGGTACGCACCCACAGAGTGTGCCAATATATAACCTCTACTAGATTTATAAGCATAAAGTAATTGTACACAGAAACTATTTTCTTTGATTCTTTAGGATAATCCTCTCATCAAACAAAGAGTAGCACATAGTACCAATAAGACCAAGCTATGTGGATACTTTCATATGTAATTACAAGCAACTCCTGCTATATGCGATTTTGATTTTTAGAAAATAAAGAAATTTATACTTATGGGAAGAGTTGAACATAGCCAGTTAAGATAGCAATGGCAAGAATCACCAAAGGAGGAAGGAGTACAAAGGCGCCAATAGTAGCAAAGAAAACAGAATCATTCCTCCGAGAGACCTCATTAAGGTAGCTTTGTCTCTTAATGTTCCTTTTCTGAGATGTGGTTAAGAATTTAGGACTCACTTTCTTTAAGTTTTTGCCTAATGGAATGGTGAAATCGTCGTCTCTGTCGCCAACAAGTCCAGCCAATTGGTCACGAATTGTGAATCCCCTCGAGCCACCACCACCACCATCACTCAAGTAACCTGATGATTAACATACAACTCAGGTGAATGATTATAACATCTGATCAAAACCCAATAATATATAAGAGCAAATAGCAATTAAGTCATGTAATGTACCTTCACTAGTTGAAGTTAGCTGTTCAAGGAGATCCAGTTGTGTGCGTACTGATGAAGATGAAGTAGAAGAAGAACCTTCAAAGAATACAAATTCAACGGTTGTCAGAACAAATTAAACCACAAATTGAGAAAAAGAATCATTTTTTTGGCAAAGAAAGTTCACCAACGAACCAATTTGGAAAATCTCACAAAACCTTTATTGAAAAGATTAGAAATTGGATCATGTACCGGAGGAGGAAGATGAAGAAGGATCGTTGTTGTCGCCGTTGTTCACAGTGACGCCGATTTCGTTTCTCTCGGAGCGGACACGTGTTGTCGGAAAGAGGTGTTTTTGACTGAAACGAGGAGAAGAAGACGGATTCGAAATTGGATGAAGAGAAGCGGGGAAGAAGTTCAAGGCCATCACATGAAAAAGCTCGAAGCTTCCTACTGCAAAATTCGATTTTTTATAATCCTTTTACTACTGTCTGTTCCTCTGAGATTCCAAAAGTTTCAATTTCGTTGTAAGGTCAGGAAAATTTTCAAATATTATTTCGGAATTAAAAAAACAATTATTATATTTTTGACTCTGACCAAATTGAACCGCTTCAATTCGTTTACAAAGTTTACACGTGTGCCGTGACGTGTAAAGCAAAAAAAAAACGAAAAAAAAAACGACGACTCCACTGGGGATCGAACCCAGAATCTCTGGTTTCGTAGACCAGCGCCTTATCCATTGGGCCATGGAGTCTTTTTGTCCGTTTTGAGCTTATTAAGTATTCGTAGTACTAAATCATCAACTGAACTCCAAACCAAGCATAATGAAGACGATAGATAGAATTTTTCTTTAGATCTTGCAATTATAAGTATAGCTCTAAGTTTCGTTTCTCTATTATTAAATTAAGAGAGAAATCAAACAATGTAAATGTGTGATTTAAGACTTTTTTGTTTGTTTGTTGCAAATTTGTATTTTTGATGATTCTTTATATATATATATATATATATATATATATATATATATGTATACTTTTGGTTCTTAACTAAAGTGTTGTGGCTTTCCTCTTATTGTTGGGTTTGATAATTTATATATAACCTCATGCAACCAGTAACTGTTCGCCTATATACAAATTCTAAGCTTCTTTTCTTACCAGTAAATATCGTTTTAGACAAAAACAAAACGTAGTAGTGTATCGTACACATGCATGTTTTAATTGTGTATGTTTTTGTTCACATAAACATTTGAAAACAGAATTAGAAACGATGTCTTGTTATTGAAACTGAAACGGCATGCACTAGAGTTAACGTGTTCATTTAATTTGCTTATCGTTGTATTAATATATGTACGATGCCGTATTTGTGATCGTCGGTCTCGAAATAGCCGTTGTGAATGCTTAGACATGTCTTTTTTGGTGGTCAAGCAAAGGATAAAAAGTTTGAATGGAGGAGAGACGAGAGAGGGTACATAGGAATTGATGAATCACACACGAAAGAAAAACTTTTTCTCTTTATCTAGCTATCTTTAATCTTTATCTATAAAGGGTTACCATAAAGGAAACGCAACAGATATATATATACAAGTGTGTATAATATACGACAACTGGATTTGTTTTAAATAATTCGACTGAAGCTTAATTACACTTATAATAAGTGACTTCAATTCTTATAGAATTTGAAACAATATAATAGTTAAATCTTCGACGACTGAACCTTACCTATACGTAATATGTGACTTCTTTTTGTTTTGTTTGCACTGTGTCTCTATATGTTGGTGCAAGTTCAACTAGCTAGTTTGATTCAAGCGCGGTAGTTATTTTCAACTACGTTGTTTAGAGCTAAATCCAAATAATAGTTGTTAGGTTATGAAATCTCTTTCCTTTTACAATCGAACTTGAATACAATTCATCATTCTCCTTACCAAAACTTGACAACTTTTTGAACATAAATTATAATCAATTTGAAGTATTTTGAAATCTTGATCAGACTCTAATGACACTTGTCAACTTGCGCCATCACCCCCATATGGGTTCATTATATATATAACTAAAGAGACGTTTTTTTGTTTCTTTTGTAAAAGGGAAATGTGACGTATGGGTGTCAATAATAGCATAAATTGCACACATGGAGAAATAATAGTATAAATCTTGGTATTAATAATTCGATCAAACAGTAATCATTCTTTTCTTGACTTTCCATAACACATTCTGACCTCAAAATCACATAATTATATAAGTGACGAATCACATAACTTTGGGGGAGGGAATAAAACACACTCGAGTTGAGGAAGAATCTAAAACTCAAAGGAGGTGTAAGACACGTGAGGAGCACATGATCACATGGCGGCAACAAAAACAAATTATTCAGAAAAGAAAAATTGGCCATTCCTTCCTCTCTGCAAAAACCTGGCCTTAGCCTGTAACCCTCCCACCCACCATCAACCAATCACACGACGACCAACAACATATGCAATTGCAATCTTTATAATATATACTTCATTCATTATTAGGGACTTACCATTATCCAAAAATGAATAATCAGTATGTTAACACAAGCTTACTACTAGTATATAAGATTTTAATTTGTTTTCTGGCATCAAACTTTATCCAAAAGTTATGCTTCACGTAAAGCCTCCATCAAAGGCTTTTTTTTTTTGTTTTTTTTTTTATCTCTCTCATGAATTCATTCATTTTCTCCAAGAAAGGTACATTGGTTTCTTACATATGACTTATGAGTTGTAACATTCCCCAAACACAAAAGACATAAATTTTCTAGTTGTGCATTTGAATACCATATATTATTCATCATTATCACAAAAAATAATAATATTAAGTCTTCAATAAGCTTATATAGCATAATTAAATACTTGGAAGTACATAGAAAACAAAAAAAAAGAATGTAAAAAGAAATGAGAATTTTTGAGAAATACCCCTTTTGGTGTACCCCTTTTTAAAAATACCCCTCTTTTTATTCATTTTCAAAAATACCCTTTTTCAAATATGAAAAATTATAAACTTTTATATAGTTAATAAGGTACATCAAGATCATCATTACTACTGGGAGACTAAATCCAAATATTTAGAAGGTTTTAAAAGGTTCTAAACGGTATTTATATTGTTTTTATAAGGTTTTTAAAAGGTTTACACAGTTTTTATAAGCTTTTTATATGATTTTTAAAAGGTATTTATACGGTACTTATGAAATATATATATAAATTTACACACATGTAAAGATAATTTGTGTCTATAAATAAAAGTTTATACATATTTTTTTGATAAATTTCAATTTTTATTGTGATTTTTTGATAAAGTATTTTTAAAAAGTGGTATTGGAAAATGGGTATTTTTGAAATTCCCCCAAAAGAAATTGATAGAATCCAAACTTGACATGTGAAAGGAAGAAAAAAAAATGGTAAAGTACAATATTGAAGAGTGAGAGAATAATAATAGTAATATTGACCTAAAATTCCAAAGCCTTTGTGTTTGGGAATTCCCTATTCTGTGCTTTACCCCTACCCATATCTATCTATCTATCTATCTATCTATCTATCTATCTATCTATCTATCTCTATCTCTTCATTTTTTTTTCTTTTAGCAATTATTTTTTATTCTTTATTTAGATAATGGAAAATAAAAATTGTAAAAATATCCAATTTATTTTCTTCAACCAGCTATAAATGTTTACAGTTGACAAATCCATGGTCTTTGCTTTCCCTTCACTGCTCACTCCTTCTTCCTCTCTCTCTCTCCCTTGTTTCCTCCATTGCAAACAAAGCTTTCTCCCACTAAACCAGTTTCACCAAACTTTTATTTTTTCCCCATTAACCCCACTACTGTGTAACTTATATGTACACACTTGATACTTCCTTGCTGTATTATGATTTTTTTTTGGCTTATAACCATTACTCTAAAATGATTTCCTTCTGGATATATGAAATTTAGCTCTGGTTAGCTCAAAATCTTCAATTCATTATTGGTCAATTGATTCCTCTGTTTTTATTTCAGTATCTTCCTCTGTTTTGCTTCAGTAACATATTAACATATTATAAAAAATGGAGCCTTTTTTATTCATTGTTTCTGTTGTTTTAAGATGAAGAAGATACATCTAAAGGACAAAGCTTTATCTCTCCCCACATTCTAAGGTAAAATTTATGCTCTCTCTTTTTTACTTCTTGAGGAGAACAAACAAAAAAAAACGTTTTTGTTTTGTTTTGTTTTTTTCTTTTCTTGCCCTGAATGTTTTTTTTTCATTATGTGATTGATTCTCTGTAAATTGTCTCTTGCTTCAAACTTAAGTGATGCTCTTTCCGATGGTTTTAAAAAGCCGAGATTCTCTTGTTTCTTCAAGCTCCCATCTTTCGTGGGGACACGTAACGCCCATAACTTGTTTGTTGATATGCCGCAATTTTTTACATATACCAATGAAAGTGTGCGTTTTTTCTCTTCTTTTTCTATACTCACACCCTTTAGATTGAGTTATCTTCCATTGCTTTCAAGATTTATGCTTTGGTACGGTTTCTGTGTTGGTTATATGGCTAAATGTCAAACGACAAGTGTGAAAAAGATAAATCTTTAGTCCTTGTATTGATGTATGCAAGTGTTTAACGGTAAGACACTCTCTTGCTGTCTAGGTGGTTATATTGAAGTGGTAAGAGAAGCAAAAAAGACGGTTTCTGGACCAGAGATGTCACCTGAGAATTCTTTAAACGCTGAGATGTCCAAGAAGATATCATTTTTTGGTTTGAAGGGGTTGAAGTTGTGGGTATGGGTTTGTTTGGTAGTTGGAGTATTCATAGTTATGATTCTCTGCATCTTGTCTCTATGGATCACATTCCGTCGGAAATCTAGAAGATCTTCAAGCAAGTTTCCTTTCAACCAGATACCACATGAGTCCAAAGATATCAGAGTAGACAGGGCTAGGTTTCAGAATCTCAATCCTCACGCTGAAAGTTTATATATCGAAATGAATGATAAATCCACTGGAAAAACGATGTTGTCTCACTTGGCAAGAACCAAGTCTAGTGATAATGATACTTTGAGTCAATGCAGCTCTGTGAATTATCATGAGAGAGCTTGTAGTTCTCATTCCGGTGAAGAAGGAGGCTTTGGAGGTACTGGGAGAAAGTATGGAGGACCTGTAACAGCATCTCCTTTGGTTGGTTTACCAGAAGTATCCCACCTTGGTTGGGGACACTGGTTTACTCTAAGGGATCTTGAGCTAGCTACCAACCGTTTTGCTGCGGTGAATGTTCTTGGAGAGGGTGGTTATGGAGTAGTTTATAGGGGTAAACTCGTTAATGGTACTGAAGTTGCTGTAAAGAAGCTTCTGAACAATCTGTAAGTTTTCAACTCAACTGGAATCTCAAATGTTTGTAAATCATATGTTTGGTTTTTTTATAATAATTCTTTCCAAATTTTGGTCTCTAGAGGGCAAGCTGAGAAGGAATTTCGGGTAGAAGTTGAGGCTATTGGTCATGTACGACATAAGAATCTTGTTAGGCTTTTAGGATATTGCATAGAGGGAGTTCATCGGTGAGTCTCGCTTGTCTTTTATAATTTTGATCGTACTTTTCAGCCAGAGCAAAAGGATCTTACTGTATCTAAATATGATGATGAATGCAGGATGCTTGTTTATGAGTATGTGAATAGTGGTAACTTAGAACAATGGCTACATGGAGCAATGCGACAACATGGAAATCTCACTTGGGAGGCACGGATGAAGATCCTTACTGGCACTGCACAAGCGTAAGTGGTTTGGAACAGTTTAACTTTTGTTAGATATGTTCAATACTTGCATATTAAAAGAGTCTGCAATTTGTACAATTTTGCAGGCTTGCTTATTTACACGAAGCAATAGAACCCAAAGTGGTCCATAGAGATATAAAAGCAAGCAATATATTGATTGATGATGAGTTTAATGCAAAACTCTCAGACTTTGGGTTAGCCAAGCTCTTGGACTCGGGTGAGAGTCACATCACAACCAGAGTCATGGGTACCTTTGGGTAAAGTCCAAAATTTTTGTACTCTCCTTTGGCATGGTTATTATTATCTTCTCAGATGATGTCCTTACAAAGATATCATTGCAATTTTTCTTATTTTTTTTTTTTCAGATATGTAGCACCAGAATATGCTAATACAGGTCTGTTAAACGAAAAGAGCGATATATATAGCTTTGGTGTCTTGCTTCTTGAAGCTGTAACTGGTCGGGATCCAGTTGATTATGGGCGTCCTGCTAATGAGGTACTAATTAAATTGGTATAGAGTTTGTATATTGCTTTAAAATCTTGGTTATGAATATGTTCATTTCTTGAAAATCTTGAATGGGTCTGTATATTGGCAGGTGAATCTTGTTGAATGGCTGAAGATGATGGTTGGAACAAGAAGAGCTGAAGAAGTCGTGGATCCAAGACTTGAACCTAGACCTAGTAAAAGTGCTCTGAAACGCGCACTTTTGGTTTCCCTTAGATGTGTTGATCCTGAAGCAGAGAAACGTCCTAGAATGAGTCAGGTAGCGCGGATGCTTGAATCGGATGAACACCCTTTTCACAAGGTATAAGATGGTCCACAGCTGTAACAATTGCTATGAACATATGTTTCTGTATATTCATGATTTAAACAAAATCTTCATGTTATGGCAGGAGAGGAGGAACAGAAGGAGCAGAACAGCGAGCATGGAGATTGTTGAGACCAAAGACGAAGAATCTCTCGGTCCTAGCAATTCAGAGACGCACATAACAAAGGCTGAGAAGACTTGTGAATAAAGAAAATAGATGAGACAGTAGCTTCTTCAAGTCTTGAAATGCTCTGTTTCTGCTTAGCAACTAATTGGTTGATAATCGATCACACACATTCCGTTGTGGAAATTTGGGGTCAGAGAAGAAATCTCTCTCAGATGATCAAAAGAGCCTGTGGAGTGATGATGACTGATGCAACCTTAGGAGGAGGGCTTCTTGTTTTTCTTTTTTTTCTTTTTTAAATATAGTTATGATCTTCGGGATAATTATTCCTGTCTTGTTGGTACGGAATGCTTGTCAGTCAAAACATGTGTTTAAGATCTGCGACGTCAGTACGAGAGCGATGTCTTAAATAATCTATGGATCGACGACGACGTAAGCAGAAACAGAGTATAAAGGTGGAAGAACAAAGAGACAAAACTAAGTTCAATTATAATGGCTAGTGGCTTCGCTTAAATCTCTTTTATATAAATCGTTATCAGTGGATTTAATTCCTTATTGAGAAAACTTTATTGAACGAGGACAAAATAATACGAAGATGAATTAATAGTTTAAGTCTAACGTCCATAAAAACCACTAGCTTTTTCCTTGCAAATCTGTCAAATGTTGCGTCGTGTTTGTCGTATTTTGTTTCTGTGATTCTCACTTTCTCATATCACCAAAATATATATATGTTGAATTAGATTCTCTGACACGTTCTCATCACGTGGCTTGTTAAAAGCTATTAACAGTAGTGATTCACCAACTCTCTCTCTCTCTCTCTCTTTACTTAGCATACTAATCGTGAAATCATTTTTCTTCTTTTAATCGGTTAGAGACATTCACGAATATAAAAAGAGTCATTGCAATAAAATTATACAAAAACGACACAAGACTGATATATTCCAGTCTTCAGTCGCTTTGATATATTCCAAACTTATAGGATCTCTAAACTTAAATTCGTTACTGCTACAATTTATCCGAAGTTTTTTTGCTTATTGTTTCAGTGGTGACAATGAAAAAAACGCTCTGATTTTGCATACTGTTACTGTTGGATGTTTGATTCTAACATTTCTTCTTTAGAATTTACAATCATAAACCGGACTGATTTCTATCCAATAGAACGTAACCATTCGGATCATGGACTATCATTCTACAACTACTAGTCGTACGTTCTATGTTCTGAGGAACTTTTTTGCAGACTTGAGCATGAGACTCGGCTTCTCTTTGAAACTTCTTCACCATTTCGTCAAGCTCTAGTTTCCTAGTCTTCACATTCTTTTCTGCCACTGGCTCTTTAAGTCCAAGGTAGAGTAAAGCAGCGACCACCAGCAAGAACCCTGAGAAGAAGAGAACGGCTGAGAAAACCAAAAAGGCTTGTGGAGAATCTTGAGCTCCTGGTATCCCATCTACGTTGATTCCAAATAGACCCGTCACTATTGAAAGCAAAAGACCGACTCCTCCAAAGATTCCTAGGTTGTGTGTAACCGTGAGACTCCGATCCTAATCAAGCCAAATAAAAAAATTAAGATGACTTGGAGAGTAACCTACTTATGTTATCATCTCCGGAAAATGAAAATCTCACCTGTAACCATGCTCTAACCGTGTTTTGCATGACGTCTTGGATAGTGAATAACCGACCACGAACGGCTTCTTGTTCATTGATCATATCGCGGGTGCTCTTTTTTATTCCTTCTAGCAAGTATTTTGTTCTGTTGCCTTTTAGTTGCTGAAGAAGCTCGAACACAATCTCTTCTCTAGCATGAAGAGACCATTTCACCCGTATAACCTGGTAATGATGATTGATGAAAAAGAAAATACGGTAGTGATTATAAAGTCACTTGTATGAAGGAATGAATAACATTATTCCAGATAAGCTAGCTGATCTCATCTCGTAGTCAAACAAGAAAGCCTTACTTGGGTCGAGAGCTTTCTGATCTCTTGATTCAAGATTGTAGTGAGTAGATTTAGATCCTCGTTCAGTCTCCTGTTATCAACAAAAGCAATTTATTCTATTTCATCAGACATACACGTCAAGGAGCGCCTTAGAAAGAAAATACCAAAGTAAGAGGAGGCACAGTTGAAGTACTTGTTCATAAACATCAACTCAACTTCATCAGCTGCACCAAATATATACTTCCGGAATAGCCTACATTAAGAATACTGATATCAATCATCATTGGGTTATATCCAGAGGATGAAAAAGAATCAAAAGGTTCTTTTATCTTATTTTATCTTAACTAAACAGATAACTAATCTACAACTGTAATCTGGTACGGGATACTGCATCTTTCAACAGCTGAATCCCATCTTGCAAAGTGCAAACTCTAAGAATAATATAAGACACATTGGTTCTATCAAAGCAATACTAAGGCTTGGCAACTTCGCCGCCTATACCCTACAGACCAGGTAAATTGTGTACCCATTGCTGAAAGTTTGAATAATGAATACTAAACTTCCCCAATATACAATTATTTTGAACTTGATTTAGATCAAGGGATGATAAATACCTATCATCCCAGCGTGCAAGGCGGCATGCAAGATGTGCTATTAGTTCATGAATGGTTCTCGGAATGCAGGTTCCACCAGCAATAAGCATTTCCTGGTAAGACAGAGTGCATCAGCTTAGACAAAAAAAGTGACATAGAAGAGCCTCAAACGACTGAAAACCCTGTTTTGACTAACTGACAAACGAATAAAGGTAAACAATGATTCAGATGAGAAGAACAAACCTGGACTTCTGTAATACCTAAAACACTAATGTTCAAGGCAAAACCTTTAACGTGCAATGCGGTCACCAGAAAATTCTGTGCTTGCCATGACCTTAAGACAATAGGTATGTCATCTTCTTCGATAAAAGGATCACCAGCTGATTGCCCCAACAGCTCAAACAGCAGCCCACCAGCAACTCTGACAGGAACCTATCCAACATATAACAAGTTTGATCTATTACAGCTGTAGAACCAAAACACAGTCCACATCACAAAGAAGCAAAATAAATTTCACCTCATAGAAAATATGTTTCATCCGCTCACTGATCAGCTTGCTTTCGTCCCGCAGAGCAAGGCTTACAGCTGGATGTAACCACTGAGAATTACGCAACCAGGAGGCAATACCTTGATGGCTAGCATCAACATGGCACCACCAAGTTGGACCAGCAAGTGGTCGTTCCCAGTAAGGAGCAGCAAGCTCAGCAACTGTGGCTTCATCCTCATCTAAGCCAATGTTTTGCAACTCCCAATCATTATCAACTTGCACAGTCTGAACAAGCTCAGAGATCCTATCCCATCCAATTCCTCGCCAATAACTCCTCGAGTGCTCTTCTTCACCAGCACCAAACTGGTCTGATTCACATTCCTGTTGCTTTCTATCACAACAACACTGTACATAGGTTAAAAACTCTACAAGCAAAAAAGAAGAAGAGTACTCAGTATTATAAACAAGTCAGTAAATATCATCATACATTCTGAGAGACGCATGCCCACTTGTGCTGTTGTGACGACGACCTTGACAAAACTCGAAAGCACAGATAAGGCCATTGGTCCAGATATTATGATAACCTGGGTTCCCGTTGTTGTTATTTGCATTCATACTTCAAATCAATTTCACTTTCAATCTCAGAATTTTTTTCTGATTCATATCATCAGTCAATCTCGTTTTCTGAATAAAAAACAGCTGAAATCTCGAAACTATCAGGCTGGGATTTAACGGAAACACGAAATTCAAACGCAACCTAAGCTCAAGGAATCAAACGCAATAATATTCCCGAGAATTGCTCCAAGTTTCGGCACCGACTCGAAGAAGAAAGAACTTGAGAGAGAGAGAGAGAGAGAGAGAGCAATGGTGGCACACGCACGAGCTGATGACGAGATGGCAAGGTCAAGAACAAAATACACGTGTGCATTTTCAACATTTGGGCCGTACTTGACCTTCTCTATTAAGGACCCAAATTAAAAGCCCAATACGTGTCGAGTATGGAAGGCGAGAATAAAAAAAACCATTCGTTCTTTACCGTTTATATAATTTACAGAGCAGTGAGTGACAGACTCTCTCATTCTTTAATTGTTCTCTAACTCTCTCTCTCTCTCTCAATCAGAATTTAATGTAGATTTGGTACCAAAAAAGGGTAAACAATTTGGTTGTAAATAGCTACAAGATGTTTAAACATTATTATGAATCTCTCTGTTAAGGAAGACAATTGTCATGAATCAAATACATAATCATCTGTATTCTGTTGAGAAGTAGGCTGCCAGAAACTTTTCTTTTGCAAAATAATTTGTTAACTATTAATCACAATTTTGGTGGCAACTTAACCATCTCCTACTCTTCATAATCATTCTTTTGGTGTCTCTACCATATAATAATTCACCAAAATCTCCTTACTTAAACCCACAAACTCCTCACAAAGATCTCTGAATCTTTCAGTTAAATATATAGCAATCATATCAATGGCTGGAGGCACAGCTCTAACCCCAACCTCTGTAGGATCTAAGTCAGTTCCAATGAGGAACCATGAAGCAACGGAGAGAGGCAATAACAACAACAGCAACCTCAAAGCATTACCCAAAGCTGTCCAACCAGTTTCATCAATCGAAGGGGAGATGGCTAAGAGACCACGTGGCAGACCCGCTGGCTCCAAGAACAAACCCAAACCACCAATCATTGTGACTCACGACAGTCCAAATTCCCTCAGAGCTAATGCCGTTGAAATCAGCTCAGGTTGTGACATCTGTGAGACTTTATCGGATTTCGCAAGAAGGAAGCAGAGAGGTCTCTGCATACTCAGTGCCAATGGTTGTGTCACCAATGTGACATTAAGGCAACCAGCTTCATCAGGAGCAATAGTTACATTACACGGACGTTATGAGATCCTCTCATTGCTTGGATCAATCTTGCCTCCACCAGCACCACTTGGAATAACTGGTCTCACCATTTACTTAGCCGGACCTCAAGGACAGGTTGTTGGTGGAGGAGTGGTTGGTGGGCTAATCGCATCTGGTCCTGTTGTTCTCATGGCTGCATCTTTCATGAATGCTGTTTTTGATCGTCTTCCTATGGACGATGATGAAGCTGCTTCTATGCAGAATCAGCAGTACTACCAGAATGGGAGATCCCGTCCTTTAGATGACGTTCATGGACTACCTCAAAATCTTCTCACTAATGGAAACTCCGGTTCTGATATTTACTCTTGGGGGCCTGCACAGCGTGCTATGTCGAAACCTTAATACAGCTCTCTAATCTCCACGTTTCATCATAATATCAAAGTGCCTTATAGTCTTACTATCTAATTTACCTTGGAATCAAAGATCGATGTTTCTGTAGGTAGAGAGAACCATAAGGTTGGCTAAAACTGAAGCTTATCTTCCTCTGTAGTTTGTACCTGCAACAGTAAAAAGAAGAAACTGAAAAAAACACAAGTAATTGTTTAAGAATTTTAAGCAGAATCCTCTAATTTAATACGAAAATATTACAAAGCATGGTAGAGAATATCACACACAACATAGGCACTATACATGGTCAATGTAAACTGCAAAGTATGCCATGGCTTTATTAGAAATAAAGACACAGAACCATGCTTGCCATAAATTTCCATAGTTAGTGCAACACATGCATATGCCTTAACTACGTCTCCAACTAATGACGTAAACACATGCAAATGTAAAAGATTGACAGCAACCAGCAACATCATCAAAAACATTTCATCACCGGTTTCCCCATTAACTCATTATACCAAAGAGCAAGAAATTCTGACAAAATGAAGACGAGGATGTTAATAAACCTCGTAGTACTTATTTCAGTAGCAAGAACAGCAGAAGCGATTGGTAGACTTGCTGCACAGCAGAACACAAGCATCATACTTACATTCACACTCTGGTGCGTGGATAATCCATATGCGCACTTTACAAGAGTGATTTGGAACCTAAAACGGGCTTGTGAAAATGGTGCTGATTGCTCACCGATGGAAAAGGGTCGCCGTTGTCAGGACCTCGACTATTACAGAAGTCGAGCATCTTATGCCTTCAATGACTATTACCAGAAGAATCCTACACCGAGAAACTGCGATTTCGGTGGTGCTGCTGTGCTTACAATTCAAGACCCAAGTACTTCCAAACCACTTCACATTTGCAAAAATAAAATCAAGCTCTGATAAAAACTATTAGAGTTTCATTGTGATAGTGTCTGCACGTTAGAACCCATTTTCCACAATCATCTTCAATTTGTGATTTGTTCTTCTCCTGCTTATATCTGTGAACTCTTGCAGGCACTCCAACGTGTAAGTTTCCATCTAACAGGTAAGCGGAAGGTTATTTTTTTGTTATTTTTTTCATTTTTGTTAACCTTATGGAAGAGAAACACAGTAATAAGTTATATAAATCAATTTCAGCACTGGTCCATACCCACTGACGTCTTCAGTAACAAGAACCGCAACCCCAAACCTAGGAAGCTTCTTGTGGGGTCTTGTATTCACACACATGGCTTATATTGCTGCTCAGATAGCTTGACCTGGACGAAACCTATAGAATAAGATTATCAGGTGTGGTATTAAGAGAGGAAATATTTTGTATATGAACTATGTATAATTCACAACATAATAAATCAGTATATATACCTAAATGATATCTCCAGCTACATCCACAGAAGGCCATATTTATGAAATTGCTTATTCTCTGTTAGATAAAAGAAACCGATCCCAGTTGTAGTATCAAACAATTCAGCGAACCGAGCAGTAGCAAACCTGATTTTATTGCAGTGACATCCCAGTTTAAAATACCGAGTAAGCTGTAAATCTCTGTAGATTTAGGATGTCTTTTCCCACAAGATACAAACTCATGAACTTCAAAATCCACTTCAATCGAACTGCAGCCAACTTCTTTCTCCATTTTTCTTTCCTTCATCAAAATCCTCTGCTCAACTGCCTCTTCGAATAAGCCATAATGAGCATAAGCGTTAGACATGAGCACATAACCACAAGTTTCATCTGGATCCAGCTTCTTCAAACATTTTGCTGCCCGTTTAGCCATCTCAACATTACTGTATTTCCTGCAAGCTGCAAGCAAAGAACTCCATATAATAGCATCTTCTTCCACTGGCATCTTCTTTATCAATGATTCTGCTTCATCAAGGAGCCCCGCTCCACCCAGCACATTAACCATGCAAGTGTAGTGTTTTATAGATGGCTCAACCATATATTTTTCTCTCATCAATCTGAAAAAACCCCCAGCTTTATGTACTTCCCCAGAGTAGGCACAAGCTGTTAAAACACCGATGAAGCTGACTGAATCTGGCTCCAAGCCAAAACGCTCTAACTCCAGGAACAAATCCATGGCCCTTTCCTCGCATCCATTATTAGCTAGACCAAGAATCATCGAATTCCAACATGATAATTGCTTCTTAGGAGCACACTCAAACACCTTTAGACCTTCCTCAATACACCCGCACTTGCAGTACATCTCTATGAGTGCTGTTATAACTATACTATTCAATTCAAATCTATTCCTAGCTATGTATTCATGTATCCATCTCCCTTGCTCGTTTGCTCCAAGGTATGCACAAGCATTCAACAGACTCACCATTGTAAATCCATCAGGTTTCACATTTCTCTCCTGCATCTCTCGAAACATCTCCAACGCATCCTTAAATCTACCATTCCTCACAAACCCACTGATCATTGAATTCCAAGAAACTTCGTTCCTGTGCGGCATTTCATCAAACAGTTGCTGCGCCTGACTGATCAATCCACATTTAGCAAGACCCATGATCATCGAATTCCAAGCAACAACATCAAAATCAGTCATCCCCACAAAGATTCTCCAAGCTTCAACCAAACACCCAGAAGTCACGTACATTTGCAACATCGTATTCCGTATGAATGAGTCGTCTTCAAGTCCCTCTTTAAGAACCCTCCCGTGCAACTGCCTCCCATCAATAGCTTGCCCAAGTCGACCATAAGCTTTAAATACCGAAGGATAAGTCAAATTCTGTGGCTTCACAGACGGAGAAGAACACAACATATCGATGAATATCGAAATCGCCATCTCCGGAAACGAGCTCTGCGAGAAACCACGGATTATAGTGTTCCACACAAATGGGTTCTTGTGATTGATCCTTGTGAATACCAAATAAGCGTAATTCATGTCTGACGGAGACGCACAGCAGAAGGCGAGGACACGGCTCGCGGCAACAGTATCTGAAATTAAACCGGTTTTGATGAGATTACCGTGAATTTGCTTGAGTTCTCTCATCGTACTACATTGTGTGTCTATCAATCGGAGATAAGAAGCCGGTGACGGAAACGCCGCTACTGTCACACCAGAGTAGCATAAGATCGTCGGAGACATTATTACCCGCCGATTTTTTGTCAATCAAGTTTAAAGAAAGGTAAGACAGGGGAAAATAACTTATCCTTTTGCGGGAAATTACACACGTGTGGAAATTGATCGCCATTGACAATAAGATGGTTAATGACAAGACCGCACGTGTTTAGTTTTCCTCTTCAGTTATTTTGTTTGCAAAACACGATTAATCAACAAGAACAGAGTAGAAGTTTCAACAGTCTGTCTAGTTATTTCAGCAAAAGTGATGATTATTCATAAATTGATCATGTCGAGCACATCTCTTAAAGAGTACAAAAGTTCAAGGCAAAAACACCAAAAGGAGCAAAAGAACCAGGCTTGATCTCTCTATTGCTTCTTCATATCTGCAGAGCATCAGCAATGGATCCTGCGAGGCTCAAGACTTCGAAAGGAGCTTTGTTTCCTATGGCCTTAACCGTCTGTGGGCATGAATCCGTGATCCAGAAGTAAGCAAACGCTTCTTCCAATCCTATTTCGAGGAAACAATAATAATATAGACTTCAGTTTTAAAGATACAACAAAGTGTTAATAACAATTCACAAAGTCAGACAGATACTTACCATTGTTCTTGTGGGTGAAACGCTCCCACGAGCTCTTTGGGAAGACACCATGAGTTACATAAGCACTCACCTTCGCAGCTCCATGGGCTGCCAATACTTTCTGTGTGACAAAAAGAAGGTGAAACAGTTAAGACGAGTGAGACCGCCATTCTCTTGACAATATCAGACTAAATTCTCAACATATCTCATAAGACATCATCTGAAGATAATGAAATAATAAAGATTCTCGATCAAAACTAATCTGGATATAGGAATATTAATACAACTCAGCACTTGGAATATTAAACCAGTTTGACATATAGCCTCTGTTGAGTTTTAAATTCAACACTTGTGATTAAGAATTCATTGAATATTGCTATAGGTCAATGCAAAATGCAGGGAGATTTTATTTCATAAGGACTGCAATACCTGGCACTCAATGAGTGTACCCCCAGACTGCACTAGATCATCCACGATAACAACATGACAACCAGCAGGGTTTCCTTCCTTCAGCCTGACTATTCTTTTATCGCCTTCACGAACCTTTGTACACACAACCTATTATGATTCAAGATTGAGTCCCATTAGATATTTTGTGAGGGTCATGAAAATGTTCAAATGAAGCTTTATAGAGTATCAGTGCAGATAAATTATCAGTTTAGATAGCTACAAACCGTGGGATATTGATCCAACAGCTTGTGGAAACGCTTCCAGGCTCCATCATCTGGAAATGCAACTATGACCTGAAAACGAAAGGAATCAAATATAGCTGAGGGAGCAAAAACACAAAGAACAGTCACTAAAAAAAAAAAAGTGGACGCTATCAGTTACAGTTATCCCCCTTCTAAATTGGATAAATTAAAAAAGATTTCATGAACTAACTTTCTCAGTTTCAGGTAGCTGCTGAAGGCGTTTCGTCAACAACGGGATCCCAGTCTCAAACAAAGGAAGAACCTGGTCAGCAAAGTAAAACCTTTCCTGCAACACAAGAACATATAGAGAGAGTGATGAACTTGAATTCCACAAATAGATGTAGTAAAATCCCGGGGATATAAGATCAAAATAAAAAAACCTGCAGAGCATGAATGTCATAGATGACAACACTAGTCGGACCTCCACGTGAAATGGGGATATTAGAGACAATCCTTGCCATGGTAAACGCAGTTGCTACATCTCCTTCCTCTTCCATTCTCTCAAAGGAGCCAGTGGGGAAGAAAGGCAACACCAAGGTGAAGGACGCCACAAACAAACGAGGGAGCAAGTAAATGACAGAGATTTGCTCAAATATGACCGCAGGAGAACTGAATGAAGCAAGGAAGGCAACGTGCTGTCCTCGGATTTCATGTGCGTTGTTGATAAACAGATTGGGGAATCCATCAGCAAAACTCCTGAAAGCATATATATATATATATATAAAAAAATGACCAAATCACTTCACATATCCAATCAGAGATTGATTTCATAGTAAGAGAAAAAGGACACTTAAAACACTTGAACTGCAATATTCTTCACATAGAAAACTGAAATTTGCTGGAAAGATTAAGTTTTGAATACATAAGCCTCGAATCAAACAGCCACAAAAGCAAAACACAGATTCTGCAGCAGAACAAGAAAAGGGGATTTTTCTAGCAGAGTTAATCCAAATTTCAGAATAAAGATATGAGTTTTACTTAACCCAAACTCGGAGAAACACATGCAACATCATCCAGATACTCAAACAAGAGAACCCAGAAAATGTGGGGGGGGGGGGGAAGAGGAAAAAGAACCTCCAGTTGATGGATTGAAGAGTGATATGATCAGATTCAGAGGCGATATTGCGAGCAAGCTCTTCGCACTCTAAGCAGTAAAAGAGATGAACTTTCTTCTTCTGTAATTCAGACACGATGGCGTCTTTACAAATCTGGGTGTCCATGATGTTGTTGGCTGCGTTCTCAGACATTATTGACGCCGTGAAAGAGTCCGACTGTGTTAGCTACGGAATCGGATACACCAAAAAGGGTTTAAAGGTTTTTTTTTTTTTTGTTTCTCAAAAGCCCTTGGCTTGTTTTTCTTTTTCTTTTTTGTTCGGCTTTGATTCCTTACACTTTATTTCTGCACCCCAAAAAATCTACATGTACTTATTCCAAAATCTATTGATGATTTTTTGTTTTTTTAATTTACTGGCACTGATATCTTATTTTTGCTGCCATTATTTCCAGTATTTGGATATTAATTCTTTTTCTATAATTGCATTACTTTTGCTGCATCATTTTCATAACTCAATATTTTGTTTTTTTAAAACGGCATGAAGCAACGCAATTACCCCAAATATTAGTCATACATTCTGAGAGGGTAACATTTGACCAAGTAATTCTGCAAAAACGTGTAATTTGAGAAATCTGATTTTATAAACGGTTAAATTTGAACCGAAGAAATTGTGAAACTACAAACACAAATCCGATCCAATGTATTCGAGTTCAAAACCTTTGATTAGTAAACTAAACCTTGATTAGTGTGACGTTTTGGGACTGACACTGCAAAATAGCTCATAAAATATAGGTGCTACAACAACTCTCTTGTTGGACAAGGCCTTGGTCTATTTGATTGATATAACAAATTCTAAAGTTTCCACTCACCCCCAGTATTGGGCTCCAATAATATATATTTTATTTTTGTAGCAGACTCGAATTAAATAAAAAGGCCAAATTTCCAATAAAAAAATAGAGAAATTGAATTATACACATAAAAAATGACGTGGAGCCATGTGTGCATCACGACAGCACGAGAACCAATCATGTTCGTCTCTCAATTATCAGTCCCATTGTAGATTTGTAGTCCATCTTAAAGCTCACGCAATCACATCTTTACGTGAATCACACGCACCACTCGAAGCAAGATCTACCGTCCGATCATCCCACCTAAGTCTCATCCCATGGTTCAACCGTCGGATGAACCCTTCGTTACGTCGTTCACAGTCATCCAAGAAGCTAACCACAGACACAGACTTAGACCCCTCCTTATCCTTCCAATCCCCACCACCTAACTTATCAATATGACGTCGTTTTCGTCCATCCACGGCCAAATACTCCACCACGCCGGCAACAAGCTCCGGCGAAACTCCCGACTCGTCACCCCATAGCCATATCCTAACCATAGAACGTTGTAATGCAGATTCCACAGCGTTGCTAAACTTACTTCTTTCCATTATGGATGAGCTTAATCTGATCACATACTCTCCATAACTTGCACCTGAAGTTACCAAGAACTTGTCGACTTTATTACTGCTGTTTCCACTGAATCGGACCGTCACGTGGTTTACAGGCTTCCGGAGACGATGAGGAACACCCTCGTAGAGATACCTCTCTACAAAGTAGCTCGTATCAAGCAGAATCCGCACTGCTGTGTCATCAGATTCGAACAAGAGGGCAAATCTTTTACCGGAGGGAGAATCTTTAGCATCGTTGATGATACTTATGGAGAAACCTTTTGAAGCCTCATGGTTTGCCCACAAGGAGATTGCTCCAATGATAATTACAGAGAACATCCGTAGAAGAATAACTGAATCCGATTCCGATGTTGAGCCTTTGGTAGTGTGTTTGGCTAGGAATGGTTGAAAAAGAGTCTGATCCGCCATTGACACACAATGGACAGAGAGAGAGAGAGAGAGTCGTGTAACGGTTTTGTAATGGTAACCGATTGAGACAGAGACTTATAACGAATCTGTTGTAATGGACAACTAAATTCTGATCATGTCTTTCACATGGACAGGATAATGTACACGCAAGAGGATGTTATATACATTACTGACAAGGAGAGGTTCTGAATAAAGCGTATAACGTAATGAACTAATAGAGATGTCTTTAGATGAAGTAATCCCTAAAACCCGGTTACTTTGTTCCGTGGAAAAACAAGCCTTAATACTGTACATCTGTTTCTTCCATAACCACGCCAGATCTGTACACTTAGTTTACCATTGATGGTGAGTTAGAGTTCCCAGCTAGTAGGGATTTAAGAGGACTCTTCTGCAGCGTTCTTCGAGTTACCGTTTTCTCTCGGATTCTCCATAAGATCCATTGTGTAAGACCAATCTGAATCGGGTACAGTTATGTTCCAAATGCTTGAAAAAAGTTGCTCCTGTAAGATCCATAAATACAAGGTCAAATTGGTGGACATCAAATCTAAAGAGACAGAGGATTTTGTATCCAATGACTTACGTGATCATTGGAGTCTCGACCCTCATCATGGTGGGAGACTTCTGGAAACAATTGCTTTTCTTCCTTCATAGGATTTGGAGTCTGCATGTATAAAGCAAGAGCAGGCTTCCCTTGGATCTCTGCATATGCCAATGAAGCAGCTTTGCCACTGTTGAATTTCTCCCATATTTTACCATTGAAGGTCTGCAGAAACACACATTACGAGTATCTGTTAACTATAACAATCTCAAGCCACTGAATCGGAAAGTTACCATATCCACAATACATGGTCAACCTCATGATTATAATGAAGAGAATATGCAAATACCTGTTGGAAGGGAACGATGTGCAATGGAGAAACCATGTTTATAAAAGCGTAACCCATGTTGCACTTATTCTGTATCCAGGAAAAAGCTAGATCGTCAGAAAGTTCTCAAGTCACCAGCATTATTATACAAAATCATCATGAGTCCACTCTCTTATAGTATAAGTACCTTAAAGTCTACAGGTAAGCACAGAAAGTCATAGTCTCCCTTGTGCTTTTCATCAACTTCAGCCACCAGCATCTTATAAGTATACCTTACAAAACAAAGCATTTGAGAGTTGAACATAAAACATAGTAGACGTTAAAGAAGATCTTCGATAGAGATCAATAAAAGGCTTACTTGTTCGGGATGTTTTTGATGATTAATGTAGTCCGCATATCATCTCCACTAGCAATTTTATCCAAGTCAATATGATATTTCCCAACATCTATGAACTGATTCTGATTGTGAGTCTCGTGGTTATGGATCCTGCCCTGCTCAGCAAAATTTTCCGGCCTTACTGATTGTAATCCTCTACTCCCACCGAAAGGAACTGTAGGCATTGAAGACATGCCAAAGCCAGTGAAATCCCGTTCACTATAGTTTCCCGGTAGACTAACACCAAGGTCTGGTTTTCTATGAGCATTGGTATAGTTTTTGCTGATTCCCATATCACCAAATCCAAGGGGTGTCTCTGGTGATCCTGGGTAGATATTCATTTGGGTATTAAAATGAATGCTTGAGGGAGCAGATCCCACATGATGCTGGTATTTTCCAAGCAATGAAACTTGCCTCTCAGCAAATGGAAAACCACTCCTGACAGAGAAAGGACGTTCAGTAGATGATGATGATGACGGCACTCCAGGGTAACCAGGATAATTCATTTGCTGAGGAGGGCTTCCCCAGCGATAGCGGTGATCAGATGAAGTCCCAAATCCTGAGGAGTGTGGAGCAACAAACCTCATGGAGTTGGAAAGTCCCCCTGCTGTATGCTCTGGCAATGAATGGGGTTGTCCATAGGAAGCGTTGTGCATCAATCCTTTGTTCAGAATAGTTTGGTTTGGATGATGCAATAGCCCTTGGTCAGTACTGACTGGTGAAAATCCATGAAAGCTAGGGGGATGAGAAGGAAGAATTGAAGCCAACCCCGGCATATTATCTGAGTTAACTGGCCTGAGCATTCCTAAACCATGTTGTCTCAGAAAGGCATGTGAAGGAGAGCCCTTCACTGGGCTACCAATTGGCCAGTTACCTGTTAAGTAGATTGAATGAATTCTTGACAAGGCAATCAAACGAATTGAGACAAAATGATAAAAGAGTTGATTAATATGAGTTTACCTGGTGGGGAGTTAGCAACATGTGAACCGACTTGATTGAAGAAATTTGTAACTTCGTGTCTGTCCAAATCTTGACTTTGTGATGGGACCGAGCTGTATACATATAGTTTCAGTGCACTGTGTATGCAAGATAACTCAACTCTTGGAAATATACAAAGTTCAGGCAACTTACAGTCGACGAACACCTCCAGGACGGCTCAGTTCAAGCTTTATACATTTACCACCTATCTCACTTCTATTCAGTGCTTTCAGGGCTGTCTCTGCATCTCTAACATCATAGTACTCAATGAACCTGTGGAAACGCCTGTTTGGGGTTTCTCTAATCTGCATGTACAAGTTAGGAATCAATAAGCAGGAGATATGACACATTAAATACCAAACAAAGAGAAGAATATCTTAGAGGTAAAGATAAAACCATTGCATAGCATATGCACATATGAACGCACAAGTTAACCTAAAGAACATAGAAATTACCTCTCTTATTTCACCATAGGCACCGAAGAGCTGAAGGAGCTCCTCATTCGATACTGTTGTATCCACATTAAAAATCACAAGAGTTCCTTGATTCATATCCTTCTCTGACGGATTTTCCTATCATGTGGTAGTAAGCTGATGATTAGAAAAGTAATAAAGAAAAGCTGAAACTTCAAAGCAAGAATAGTACTCCTAGTCCATACTTTAGGAATGGAAAAGTGAATGTCCAGTGTCCTCTTTCTTAAAAGTGTGTTCTGAAGGGCACGCATTGCAGCATGCGCAGCTCGGATATCATAATAGGATATCATAACAAAACCCCTGCTTTTGCATGCAGTGTACAAACTTCTGATCTCCCCAAAGGGCTGGTGACAGGTGGAAATCACGTCAGCAAGGGAAAGTAAGCGTCGATATTAAATGAGTTAAGGCTTAAGAATTGGACGAGAGAAACAAGTATGTCTACCTCAAAAAGGGCGCTTAACTCAGAATCCTCAACACTGCTGTTGATATTCCTTACGAATAATGTCCTTGAAGGATGTTCACCGTTTGGATGTTCTACCGAAACTCTGCCAGACGTATTGGGACGTTTACGAGGAGCAAAGGCATTTGCAGGACCGCGATCAGATATCTGCATCCCTGACACATCAACAGCAAGATTATCTTGGGATTCAAGATCCAATTCCATACCCCCTCCCGTGCAGAAGACATCACACTCTTCGAGATCTTCAAGTTCATCAGGCAAACCGGTAAAATTAAGCTCATCAATAAGGCCAGGAAGGAGCTCATTTTCATCTTCAGGCAGCAAGATTTCTAGAGAATCAGGTTCAACATCTTCCAACGAATCATTCTCTGAGTGACCTATGCCAAGTTTGTTCAGATTGGGTGAGTTATCATCAAAGGAGAGCCAACTATCAGAATCAGTCATATTCACTGCAAGTTTGTCAAAACAAAAAGATATTAGCATTGAATTCAGGTAAATCAAGAGTTATCATTGAATAATTGATCACTAAAAGAAGCTAGGACATACGCTTCTCATGGAAAAGTGTAGGCAATGAGCTTGAGAACATGCTGAGATCATTTGCAGAACGATATCCAGTGCCTCCATTAAATGTTTCAGATGATCTACTCAGAAAAGATGACATGTCTAGATTTGAAAATAGCCACATAGTTAGATATCAAACAAAAATAGAAATTTCAATCAAAGCCAAAAAAAAAAAGAAAAGGAAACAAGAAAGTATCTTTTTCATACCAGCAGATAGTGATTCCTTGGATTCTGACTCCATCTTTTTGCCTTCTGAAACTGAAAACGAAACAAAGAGACAACTATTATATGTGAATCCAATGACAATTCTGCAAAAAAAGATTTCTGATTTTGCATCCCAAAACAGAACAGTGAGTTCCTGTCAAGCTACTGATGTGTTTCTTCATCAAAAACACAAAGAGAATCGACGCCAAACCATGAAGTCTCTCAGTTACGCTTGGTCAACTCGATGAACAGAAAAAAAATTACTTGAGAAACTTTTGTTGCTTGTGGCGACAAAACATCACCAGAGACAAGAATCGTATGTTTAAGAAACTCAAAATCAAAGCTTAAACCTTTGAAACAAGTCAAAAATCCGATTCGAGGGCAAACCGGTTTGCAGAAATTTCATATGAATAATAACAAAAAAAATCAAACCGATTTGCAGAAATTTGATCGAGCAAAGTAATAAGGTAGCAGTAGTACCTGCGATGATGGAGGAAACCATGTACAACAACAACAACAAGAAGAAGAAGAAGAAGAAGAAGGAGAAAAAAGCATAGAGTAGAGAATCGGAGAAGCAAAAGAGAGGAGAAGAGGCTAACGTTTTCGTAGAAGAAGAGGAATTTATTGCTTACACTCTTCCTCCTCCTCCTTCCGTTGCCGGGAAATTACACAACGAGAGAGCACACACTAAAAAAAAAAAAAAAAAAAACTGAGAGAGAGAAAGAGAGAGAGAGGGATAAAAGCGTCTTTAATTATTTATTTTATTTATAAAGTAATTACAATTTAAAGTAAGTTAATTAACTTAATTAGAGTCTATGGATTTTATAAATATCGTTTTAGAGAGATAGGGGCCTAACCGTTGACACGAACCTAAACCAGATTTTTATAATATATCGTATGGTGACATTTCTTATATGTTAATATTTACATGAAATTCATCTAAAATGTCCTCTGCTCATATGTTTCTTACACGAATTTTATGCATCGATATACATCAAAAAAAAATAATTCAAGGACTTATGATAACAAATCATCTATATATACAATAAAAAGTAGAGAAAAATGAAATAATATTTCCTCGAAACCCATAAAATCAGACAACTTTAATACATCTGTATTTATTTAGTAAATAAAATCTTATACTACCAAAAAAAAAAGTAAATAAAATCTTATTAATAATACTGTATATCACAAAAATTAGTGTTAATTAAAAAATTATCTGATAACTAATTATTGATATGTACGATAACATTATGGGCCCCTATTCAGCATTTAAATTATGGGCCTTAATTACATGTTCAAAATATCGTTATTGTTTTTTTGATCAAAAATATATCACAACTTGTATTTTGTGATGTGGTGGGTTTTTTCAGTAAATAAAGGGAATATGTTTAGAATCAAATCTTCTCTATTTTAAAATAAATAAATAAAAATCTCTCTTTGTAGAAACATTATATATGGAAGCTCCAATTTATGTAAAAAAACAAACATAGTAGAAAACTTTTAGACTTTATGTCCTATAAATAAACTTTTCACGAAAGAAAATTAAAAAGATTATAGAACATAATCTCTCTCCCTCTATATATAAGATAAAATGGGTATTAATAAATGTTTTCCTTGTAATAGTATTGACAATTTGGTTTTCTAATGAAAATGTTTTGGCCATGTCATTGTCAGATATGTTGCTTCTTTGAGAAATGATTATGTATTACTTTTTCTCGTTTATTTTTCAGCTTATCATTTTATCACTGCAATCAAGAGCATAATTCGGATTTTGTTTGCTAAGTATATAGTTTTTGTTTTTATTTCGCAAAAATTTACATGTATGTGTATACGGATTTCTAAAATTTACAAAAACAGTTATTTGGACATGTATATACGGCCGGATTTCTAAATTTAATGATGGACAATGTGTTAGTAAATCCTCGACGCTGTTGCTGCATCATATGATAAATTAAAGGTATTGGTGAATAGAGCTTGAGATATGCGCTAGCTTCTAGTATGAGCTTTGTTATTCTTTATTAATTCTGTGTGCTTCTCTCATGGCAGCTAAACGAAAGATGGATTACTCTTTACCATTTTGCGTTCCGGACCAGAAAGTATATATTGCCCAAAGACATGTTTGAGAGTATAAAGAACAGAGTTTATGATTAGAGTCTTACGATTTTTTTATACTGTTTTAGAGGCCTAATTGCTTAACTGTTGACACGAACCTAAACCAGCTTCGTTGACACTGATAATTTGTTTTAGTAGACATCGAAAATAAAGAATATGTTAATTTTTACATGAATTTATCTATATGTCCTATGTACGCATAACATTAGTATATGTTTCTTACACGAATTTTATTCATCGATTACGTCGAACCTTTTCCAAGGTTCTTATAAACAAATCTTCTTTACAATTACTAATAAAAAGTAGAGTGAGTTGAACCAAAACTAGCTATAAACCACAACACTTTAACTATCTTTAAGTCTTTCAATACATCTGTTTATTAGATAAAGTCTTATTAATAAAAATCATACTATCATAACAACCCACTTTTCTTTTTTATTGATTGTAAACAAAAAAAAAGCAATTCACTTTACCAAAAGATTTGCAATTAAAATAAAAAATTTTATAAAAAAAATTGAAAAGGCATACATGACCATATTTTGCTGGTTCCATCACTTCACATACTGTATATACATACTTGCATAAAACTCCTCATTAAATTTAGAAAAAAAAATCTAATCATATATAAATTGCAATATCAAGGTTAGAGTGATGTGTTGGAGACAATAACAGTATGTGAAAGATTTAATTATATTGTTTAAAGATCCAATCATATATAAATTCTGTGTAAATATTTTTACTTCTTTTGACATCCTCACATTTATTATATAGCCAAATTTAATTATAATACTCAAATATGTACAGTAGTTAATGGTACATAATCAATTTTCAAACCTCCACATTAATCAAATATTTATTTCCCACATTTTACTTTTGCATTAATGTTTGATATATCCGGTTACAGTTGTTTTGAGATTCCTTCTATTTTGAAAGATATTGAAATAAATGCAAATCTCTCTTTTAGCAAATAAATTTAAATTTATATATATATATATATATATCGAAGATATAAAAACAAAAAACCTTACAAACCTAAAAAAAAAAACAAAATTCAGCTGAGAACATAATTCTTGGTAAATAATGGGTATCACAAAAAGCTCTATAACTGTTTTTCTTGTAATTGTCTTGACAATTTCTTTTTCTTATTACAGTGTAACGGCGTTGTCAGGTACATTAGTTGGTTCTTTTAGAAGATTTATATATTTTGGTTATTTTTTCAATTATCTTTGATCACTTTACAAGCAATAATTCAAACATTTTTTTTTCTTTAAGCATAGACAATTAGTATTAGCAAGTTGCACGTATGTGTGTATGTAAGTTTTAAAGAACTTTGAGTGGGGGGGGGGGGGAAAACTATTATTTGGACATGTTACATATATGTATAATTAGTGTTAACAGTGGATTTTTATATGTATGTGCAGAGACCATACCAGGAGCTGAATTCCTTTATAAATGTGGAGGTAGACTTGATAATCGCGCATGCTTCCATGACTGTTCTCGGAAGGGTTACAAGCACGGCTTTTGTCTCGGAGTACCTTCAACGTGTGTTTGCTTTCGCCGTTAGCTATACATATTCATCTAGAGTAACTGGCGAATTAGGCTTTTAAGTTATGCGTTTCGAGTTTATGTGATTTTAAAAAGATAATCTCTCTTAATTGTTGCTTTTCAGTTTATTTATAATGAAATAAAACATATTATTATTTATCATGACTATAATGGCAAAAAGATGAGCTAATCTAGTATAGTTGATGCTGACTTAAAAAAAAAAGAATATAATCAGCAAAAATAATACCTAATAAACCAAAATCCACATGATTTGTTTACATTAATGGTCTTCATTGGTCTTGCAATCAAGGTGATTGGTGTGCGATTATACAAACACACTGGGATTGGACCCGCGCGGAGAACATTCTATTTAAATTTTTATATAATTTGTAATAAAAATAAAAATAAAAATAAATATTGTAAATGATTACATTTACAAAATCTGCACATTTATAGTGTATGTTTTGACGGACTAATCTATAATAGATTTCATTCATAAAAACAATATGCATTCACAGTCACGTGTATACTTTCACGGACTCAAGATTACATTCGTAGAAAAATATATATTTGTAAAAAGAGAAAACTCGCAAGATATTTTGAAGGGATTAACCCGTGAAAGATTGTTTTCATAAAACCATAAAGATTTGTAAAATCTATTATATTAATAATCTACTAAACTTTAAAAATCTTAGTAAACATTTATTAGAATCTACAAAAAATTTTGAGAATTTTAAAATCTCTAAAACTTTTGAAATCCACACTCTTTTAACTTCAACATCCCAATAACCTCCCCCCTTAATTATATTGTTTAAAAAATCCATTTATATATAATTCTGTGTAAATATTTTTACTTTCTTTTAACATGCTCACATTTATTATCTAGTCAAAAATCAAATATATAGTTAATGGTACATAATCAATTTTAGTCAAACTTCCACAATAATAAAATATTTATTTCCTAAAATTAATTTTTGCATTAATTTTTGATATATATTCAGTTACAGTAGTATTCAGATTCTTTCTAATTTAAAAGATAAGAAAAGTAAATGAAAATCTCTCTTTTATCAAATATATATAAAGGATCCAATTATGCAATGACAAAGTAGAAAATTGAGACTTTCGTAGAGAATTAGAAAAACAAAACTCTTAACAAGAAATCAGAGACCATATTCTCTACTATGGATACTGTAACAAAAAGCTCTATAACTGTCTTTCTTGTAATGGTCTTGACAATTTCGTTTTCTTCTTACGATGTTTCTTCTTACAATGTTTCGGATTGGCCACGTATGTCGTTGTTCTTTAAAAAAATAATTCAATTCATTTTTTGTTATATTCATATCATTTTTACATCATTTTTTTGACATTTGTCTTATAATTATATATATATATATATATATATATGACTTACTAACAGAAAGTTACATGTATGTGCAGCGATCAAACCAGCAAAATGTCCTCTATGGCTTTTCAACTGTGTAGGTATACTTGATAATCATGCATGCTTCCATGACTGTTCTGAGATGAAAGGATACAAGCATGGATACTGCATTGGAGATCCTCTACGCTGTTGTTGCACTCACGACTAGCTAGCTATATCTAATGGCGAATTGAGCGTTAATTTCCATATGTTGTTGCTTTTCTTGTTTTTTTTTTTTTTAATAATGAAATAAAACATAAATGAGCAGTAAACAGAAGAAACAAAAAAAAATGCCGACAAAAAAAAACAAAAGGGTTATATTAATTTGTATAGAGACAGTTAACCTAAAAATTAAGAACATACCAGTTATTTACTTATTTATGTATTATATTAATGGTGATGGACAATATTATCGAATATCGATATTAATTTTATTATTGTTATATGGGGAAAGGTATTTTTTTTCCAACTTATACAAGAGTATCCGAATACTCGGACAACGACTGTTGCAATGACAATCATTTATTTAAAAAACTAGAAACGATTCTTATTATTTTATAACTATATACATTACAGTATAAGGTTTAGAACACATCTCTACCTCTTCGGCGGAAAACAAATCGCAGCTCTCTCTTTCTGGATCAATTAGTCGCTGATGGCGATCGCGATTCCATCTCCGATTTGAATCCGTTGATTAAGAGATTAATGATTAAGGTAAACCACAATCCCTAACCTTGTTTTCAATTTCATTTCCTTTTATCTCTCTCTTCTCGCGGGATTCATGAAGATGTCTGTTCTGTTCTGGATTTGTGTTTGTTCCCAATTCGACAAAAACGGGAACCTTTGGTTTAACTCTGATGTATCGATTGCACATATCCAATCTAGCATAAGTTAGTGTTTCTTCGTTTATTTGTATCCATGTCTCTTGTTCTGAAATTAACCAATGGCTTTTATATGTGTGAATCTTGAAGTTCTGCACCAATCTTGTAGTAGTAGTAGTAGTATCTATGGCATTCATCAGTACTTCATTGAAATAGTAGCTCGCTCGCTCATTTTGTTGATAGTTGTTGTTGTGTCATAACCTTTAGGTAATCTATGTCATAACCTTTACCTATTGTTTTAGCTGAAATTGTTCTAAAACTGAATCTTGGAATGCTGGACATAGTGAAATCTCATAGATTTCACAGCTTCAACTGATGTGAGTTTCATTATTTTGCATTTCGCCTTCTCAGTATTTTGGTCCTTTGTTTGCTGGGATAGTTAGATTGAACTCTATGTTTTCCTTTTTCCTTTTTGGACAGTTGGATACACAATTACTCGGTCGCAGGCGGATTTCTGGCCAGTGTGAAGTCCAGAGACTTATTTACATTACATGTTTCATGATGAACAGTAATATTCCTACTTTGGAACATAACAATTTGATGTGGACAAAGAAGTATCAGTGATTGGGAGGGATTCTGTATTGTGATATGGTGTGATAGATCAATTTAGGCAGAACCATGCTTGTGATGTTGCCCCAATATGCTTAGTACTAGCTGAAGTTAGTCATTTAAGTTATTTTCTGTTGGTGGTGTTGATATATGGAGAATTTAGAAAGCTAGACATGTTTTCATAGAAATGGATCGGAATGGTGTAGCTAGAAAATGTTTAGCCGAATCTAGAGATTAAAGAGTTTCCATGGTCTAGGAAGCTCCAAGGGATGACATTTTTTCTATTAGAAGTGTCTATTATTGAGTTTGGTGAATCCAAGGCATGCAGAAAGGAGCTGTTATTTAGATGCCTGAGGCATCTTACTTTTGCTAGTCTGAAGTTCCATTTGAAGCACAAATGGAGATCTAGGCTATTGCAACCATTTGTTCACGGCTGTATTAAAAGAGGGTGTATTGTAAATAAGAAGAAGCAACGATTTAGTTTGAGCACATTATGGTAATATAAGAATCAAAAACCAATTCCATCTTCTTTACTCTATTTCTCCCTATGGATCATTTACAATAACCTGCGCCACCATTCACCTAAACTAAATCATACATGCTATATTAGATATTGTATTACAATATGTTCATATTAAACAGTGTTTTTACACATAAGTTAAACCGAACAAACATAAATAAGTAAAGAAACTAAATGATAATGAAAAAACTAAAACTGAAAAAAAGAAATAATAGACTCAACCTAAGAGGGGGGACTCCGGAAGGTACTCTATGGCCAAATCCTGGTCCGCCATAAAAGAAATGAGTTTCTAACTCATCTCTATGCAAGTTCTTAAGGTCATAATGTGTACCATCTGCCTCTATAGTCAACTCTGGGATCATCTGGAAACTGCAAGTGTTATCTACCACCGCTATGTTTCGGAAATAGCTCGCATTTCCGAAACCTTCTTGGGGGAAGCGACCAGATCCCATTTGCGTCTTCGTGTGTCGTCCGAAGCTCTGCATGTTAACGATTTCACCACCCAAAGAGACTTTGGTTGCATGATCGCGTAACGTGGTGAAAATCTCACTAGGCCAATATCCTACCAAGTGAGGCCCTAACATCAGCCACCAGTTCCCACTCTCTGGATCCTGAAATTGTTTGTATATTCTGTTATTATAAAAAACTGATAATACAATAATAGAATTTTGTAATCAATCGTTTTAAATATCAATAAAACTGAAAAACGAACCTTCCAGACGAGAATAGTGATCTCGAACTGACTACCTCCGATGCTGGATACTGGAGAAATGGCGCCTCCTAGGACAATCTCGCTGCTGATCTGTATAAAACCTGGTCCGCGAAGATTATAGCCGCCGGTAAGAACGTATGCGTCACTCTGTAAAAATTAATATCATCAGTTATATATATGTTAGAATGCAAAAAATCATATATCCAAATTGATATGTATTTTAAAAGAAGCAAACAAAAGTAACATATTGATATATATTTTTTAAAAGAAACAAACAAAAGTAACATATTGAATGTATAAGAAGTGGATTTACGTAAACCAATAGGAAAGGAATAACAACACGAAATGAAATAAATACTAGTTCCATACCTGCCAGCCAACTTCAACCGTATTGAGATCTTTACTCTTATAAGCTCCTAAAGTTAACCAAATCTGTGAGACACTCATTTCGCTAGTGTGGTTTTCAACCACCGGTTGCCACACGCTGATTGTTGCGCGAGTCCCATATAGATTCTCTACAGAATCTGTACTTACTTCTGCATACTATTATTTATAGAAAAGAGAAAATCAAAAAGATATCACAGTTAATATTATACGGCTAATTTCTAAAATATATACGGTATACTGTTTTATTATACATATTTCAAATATCATGTCTAAGACTTATACGATATACTGTTTTGTTTCTATACCGTATATGTTTAGTTACACAAATATATCATGATGTTTTAGACATGCTATTTGTATAACTAAACATCATGTCTGTCAAGTGAAAAAACAAAAATAAAAAGGAACATCGATCCTAATTCCAAATTCAATATGAAAACAGTTTAAGCCCAGCCCAGCTATATATAAAGAAGGACTCAGGCCTAAGGCCAGAAATATTTGTAAAAAGAGGTTCGTATGATATGCCAATAAGATCTGGAAACTAACTTTTAACGACCATATTAAAAAACCATGCACTATAAAATATAAAGTATTTTTATCCATACAGTTTATAAAAAACGTGTAACTATAATAGGTTTGACCGCTTTTATGTACCTCGTGGTGAGGGGTGAAACTAGTGTTAACCTCGCCCGTATATGGTTTCAGCCGATGATCCAATGCGGTCAGATTCTGCATGGGAATAGTCCCCCGGGGACACTTGGCCGTACTGAACTGTGCCTCAAATGAGTGCCACTCACTGTTTCTTCTAGTTCCGTTCGCTACAGGAATTTTTGACGGCGACTCCTGTAATAACATCATTTTTCTTTAAAAGTTTTAGTAACTGCGAGACTCTAAATAAATTAACTATCAACATAAAATAATTTTTAAATGATAATAAACACAAACCTGTAACTTGTGTTTTTGCAGAAGAGGGTGGTAGAAAGCGGGTTGGTCATATATCCCGACACAAACAACCTTAACCCCGTCCGAAGCAACTATATCCCCATCTGAAGCCTGTAAAGGTAGATTTCAAAAAAATATAAAACATATTAGTAAATTTCTACCACACAAAAAGAAATTCAGCAAAAGAAAAGAAGAAAAATAAGAACTCCTCTCGGTTCGGGTAGTAATTTTAAGAAAATTTTGGTTTAAAAAAATTAAATGCAAAACTTAAAAACGACTAGCCTTTCAGTTTGACAAACCGAACCCATAAGCGATTTAAGTTTCCGTAGAGAGGGAACTGTAAATTTATTGGTAATATTATTATAAATTCTATATGATTGCCGAAATGTCTCTGTCTCTCTAAATCTCTCTCAAAGTGTTTAAGCTTGGTATATTGATATTTTACATAACATTTACCTCAAAGGTGAGGTCATCATTGCTGCGGGCGACCTGAGCAGATGTGATCAGTACAAGGAGAAAAACCCAAAGAGACTACATTTCAAAAATAATTACACCATATTAGTTAATGATGAATCAGCTACCAAAAATATAGCACCGCATGTAAAGATTCGGTCCCGAACACTATAATTAATTGCAAAAATAAAAAATAAAGAAAAATATACGGTTGTTTTTTTTTTTTTTAAATCCCTAACCTTCTTCTTCCCTAGCCCTTGGCTCCGTCTTGGTGAAATGCCCCTTCGTGGACAGTTAGATATACCTTCTTTTTGGAAGTCCGAAAAGGAATTCGTCATGGGTGAGCTTTCCTAGATCTGTAAGAAACCCAGGCGGTCTCTGGTTTTGTTCTCTCTCTCTCTCTCTCTTTCTCTCTCTCTTTCTCTCTCTCTTTCCAGTTTAGGGCTAGGTTTTTCTTGTTTTGTTCTCTCTCTCTCACTCCGTTTAGGGCAAAAAAACATGTGTGTGTATGTATAGGTTGTGGGGTGATTGATACATTGTTCTTAGGAAAACGATTTAAAGACTATTTACCAATAAAAAAAAGAGAGTTAAATCTACTGTGAAAAATCAACGAATTATCTTCTTTGTTTTAGTTACATATCGCTGTTATGAGTTTTTGTATTCTTTTCCAAAGTTGACGAAATAAGAAAGCCATGCGAAGCAGAAATGAAACAGTGTGGGATCACTTTATGGACAAAATAAGGAATGGTTTTTGAAAGCCGTGACGCATATTTATATACACGAACTATATACAGTAATAAGTTCATTTGGCATATTCGAAATATAAACGACGTCTCTCTCTCTCTCTCTTCCCATCTATCTAATTATCAGTTCCCACTAATGATCTCTACTACTCTTTAGCCATCATAATACATCACCTCAAATTCTAAAAATTATCACACTGATAACAATGATATATATATATATATATATGTACGTCTTAATTATAGTAGAATTTATTAAAAATACATCACCTTACTTACTGATCTAGCTATCCATCAAAATCCAATAATGTATTGTTTTTTTTTTTTTTTTCCAAACACATGTAGGGGAAAAGCTTGGAGACGCCTATTTAATACTATTGAGAGTATATATAAGGACAGATTCATAGCGATCTATTTGTATTGCTTCATGATCTGATTTTGTTCCTTAAAAAAAAAAATACTGTATGATATTAAAACAAGACGTATTTCTTGATCTCTTGGAATAAAATTCATAGTTTAAATTGGTTACCTTTTACTCTTCTTTAGTTTATTTGTGTTCTTTTTCTTCTGTGAAGAAAAATATCAACATCAACTTTTCATTCACCTAATTGATCAGATACATTGTCACATAGTAAGTTTATCTGTGTGTTGAGTCTCTTTATCACTCTATATATATGTTCATCTTTTTTTTATCTACTTTAATTTTCGTTTTGCAAATTCTGTTTTTATTCCGTAAAGAATAATTTAATACAAGATTAGTCGCGTAATATCGGCTCAGTCGTCAAGTGTAATAGTTTATCAGCTAATGGATCAGATAAATGGAGGTTACTTAAGAAAATAATTACACTCATTTGACGAGTGCCCAGTGGTGCAGTAGGTTTGACTTTGGAAACCTTAATTTTAATCAAGAGAGGAAGAAAGAAGAAGACATGCTAAGCTAATTAACATCACATTAGACAACGTCAACTAGTATCTATATTGCAAGTACAACTCGAGTCAGACAGGTGTGTCACCTCAGGTGACGTGGCGTTAAATGTCCGCACAGCAATAAGAAGAAGAGGATATGTAATTTGTCTATTTATAAAATCAATGAAAAGAATTTTATGTACTGTGAAAATCAACGTTTCATCTTATTAGTAGTGTTCTTTTTGTGATATATCGGTTCTTTTTTGTTTCCTGAGTTGACGAACTCGGGAATATCTCTTGCTGAGTTCGGAGTCCAAACAATAATTTGTATGCTAAGACTTAAATCATTTTTAGTAGATTGTTTATAAAGTCTGAAGTGTGGATAATTTTGTTCCTCTAACTTTAAAATCTAAGCTGGTTCATTATGAACCTGTATTCTTTGTATACATATGTTTCCTTAATTTTGGTTTCTTACAATTGTAATTTTCTCCTTCTTTTGAGACTAGGATTTTTTTTCTCTGTAACTTTATTTTTTTTGTTTAAGTGTTTGGAATTTGTTTTGTGAGGTTTATGTTGAGACTTTTGCAATTAGTTGAGAAGTGTGTGTGTTTAATTTGTTTAAACGATATATGACTGAATATGTCCACTAAAACTAAAATACTTACATTTGATCGAATCAACACCACACCACACCATGAACCAACTTATTGTATAGATTTGTTAATGTTATTGATTGGTAAACATTACTCTAATTAAGTGAGGTGGTTGGAGAGCAATTACCCATATATATAGTCCATATATAGATAAGGTTTAAAGAGCTCAGTAGACCGTAGCACATAATTGAAAGTTATTTGATATTAATAGA